ACTGACTCGATGGCACTAAATGACAACAACGTATTAAACCAGCTGACCCAAAGAAAAACCTCATAGTGATCCTGTATGGGGTTTCCACGCAATAAATCTTCACAGGAACAGGAAGTCTGATCTTTCTTCCGCGAAACAGCTGCAGTGCTTATCCTACAGCGCCACCAGGGCTCCTTAAACTAGCTTACAGTCTAAAATAATTGGAGGGCATTTTAACAGTCCCCAATAAAGACTTTCAGAAATAGCCTGCTGTAGCTATCTTGTTGGACCTCTGGGTGCCGCTGTCGGCCAATCGGTGGCTAAAATAAAGCAACGCAATCCACTGGCGATTCTGACGCGGGGATGCCCGCAAGAAAGCATCTCTGCAAGCTCGCTCCCTTGCAATCTGTTCCAAATATCTTGTTCAGGTTTTCAGGATATGTCAGGAATGCCCAGCGCATCTTTGCAATTCGGAAGAAACCGCAGAGGGTGTATTCAAATCTGGGAAGCCACATCCAGAAGACACAGAAGGCTCGCGGAGCGTCCGGAAGTACTGTGTTCCTTCCTGCTGTCTTTGTTCTGCCTAGGGAACTACGTAGCCGATGCTCTGCGAGATTCTGGGAGAGAAGGCCAAGGACTCAAAGATGGGGAATCTCGCCTAAAATCTGAGTCTCAGTGTCCAGAAACCTACCGGTGAGTGCTGAGAAGCCTCTCTTTACTGTGAGCGAAGATAGCAGGGACGAATTTGGGTATGAAAGCATAGATCGAGCTGATATAACAAATTTGAATCCTTCGCTGAAATTCCTATAAATATTTTTTCATCTAGATAAATTCTTTCTAGACATAAATGATAACTAATTATCTTAGTAGACATTTATTTTGGAAATCTTGGGAAACGTCTTGATAGGAGCAAGATTTGCTCTTTAATCTGCGATACATTAATTAGAACGCTGACAACATCCTGCACAAATTTCGATAATCATCCCCACCCCTTAGTAAAGGAGAGTGCTGCGGCAGTAAATCCTCTAAATTCCTCCTGGAGAAACCATGGATTGGGAGGAACAGAGTCGCTACCCCTTAGCAGTGGGAGCAGGAGGGCAGAATGGCTCTGGGTAAAACAGATAGGTCTTGGATACCAACACAGTCCTGCAATGTTGAGCCACCGTGTGTAAAACAGAATTAACCTGCATGAAAATTTGCCCTTCACCACCTCTTTTACATTGTTCAGGTGATTCACGCTGACCTAGATGAGGTTCTTCATGCAGAGTTCTACATTTCCCTACAATCTCACAGGGCATATAGAATATATTCATCTTATTATCCAATAATGATCAAACGATACTTGATTTTGAAGAGTGACAATAATAGCATGGAATAGAAGAGTGGAAGCAATTTGAGGATCTGTTGCAGAATCTTGGTTGAAATGAAGATTGAGAACTATGATGTAGTACAGGTTCCTTTCATCTGGGCTTCTAGTCATAACAGAAACAACACTAAGAACTGTAGTTGCTATAACCAAAACAACAGGACCAAGAGACCTGCTTCAATAAGGTGAAATTTATTGCAAAGAAATGACCTCTCTGGTTAGCAATTTATCTCCAGAAATTTCTATGTAGTTACTGACAGATGGAATCCTAAACTGGAAGCAGATCCTGAAGTACAGTGCCATCATCACAACTATGGACGGGGGCAAGGACAAGCAGCCAAGCATCACCCTGCACATCGCCCACATCAACAATAGCGCTCCTGTTTTTTCAATAGGCCTCCTATTTGCTTCAGGCCGCTGAGGATACCCGCCCAGTACCCGCCACAGTACCCTTAAAGTGCCTCCAACCCAGAACTGGGTCCTAATGACTGTGTCTCCTGCTTTCTCTTCACTGTAAGCACAGTCCTCCTGCTTGTCGATAAGCACAAAGAAAATACTTTTTGCTCAGTCTGCCTTTGAGCTGGCTTTGCGTGATCAAGATTCGATGGGACTCAGAGTCATCCTGAACCTGCCAATGATGGTGGACCACAGCCATGGAAACACTGTGAGAATGCTGTACCCTGTGATGGAATCCAACAGCATCATCTTCTTGAACAAGGCTCTGTGCCTTGTTACCTGGCCACCCAGATGGATGTAACGCCTGCCTTACATTGTGTTGCCTCCCAGCTAACCGCAGTTCTTCAATCTGGGGTATGAATGAACGGGCATCATGCTACTCCTGGTTTTTACTGACAGTTTACGGAAGCTGCCACAGAGCCTCAGCGATTGACCGGCACCCTCCAAAAGACAAATGGAGCTGCAGTTTTCTCTGGCCTTGACCTTGATCTTTGTGTTCTTGCTCCACGCGGTGATTCTGGCTGCACTTGTGACTCTCCTCCAGGGGTCTGCTTTCTGCCCAGTCTCTGTTCTAATTCTGAGTCTGGAGTTGCTTCCAGTGCATACAGTGAGAGAAATTTGCCCTATTCTTACAGCATACGTGTACCTTCAGATTATTTCAAACTACTAATTTAATTTCTACGGGTTAACTCAACTAAAAAAAATGCCTTTCAACTGCATGATTGCTTGTAGTGCCACACTAATGAATGAAGCCGTAAATATTTCATTGGACTCAAACGTATCTTTCTATGTTAGTTTTAACATTTTTATTTCCTAAATATCATCCTTCTAAGGAGCACTAGTAGCATAGTGAGTTATGTATTGGACTGAAAATCGAAAGGTCAGCAGTTCAAATCCACCAGCTGCTCTGCAAGAGAAGGCTGAGGCTTTCTGCTTCCATAAAGATTTATAGCCTCAGAAATCTATACAGGTCAGAACTGACTTGATAACACACACCCATCACCACCACCACCAAGTATCATCTTTTTATAAATGAATCCTGCTTTTTTGTTATGGGGTGGGGTATGTTCCTACAAATTTGCTAGCCTCTTCTGCTCTCTTGAAGATTTAAAGCCTTGGAAACCCTACACAGGGTCACTATAAGTTGGAACCAACTCAATGGCACTTAACAACAACAACATGTTTATTTTATGTACTTTATTAGTCTGGACAATTTCTTTAGGGAGAAAGTTTGTGCCTAAAGGTGTGTTTGAATGACTATATTTCATGTTAAAGAGTTCTCTCCTTGTAATATGGACAGTTTGCTACATCTTTAAATGTCTATCCTTTGTATATATTTGTCTTTGAGAAGCCATTATACAAGAGCACAGAAACTCACTAAGAACTACTTTTATAACTTTTGGCTATTTCTTTTCTTTCCTCATTTTCCTTGTCTTTCTTAGTTATCCCTGTGTTGACTGCTAATATCTGGCCCTGTTTGTTCCTGGAAATGCCAAACTCTAGAGTGAAAAAAGCACTCTTTTCTAACTTTGGGATAAACTTTTGAGGAATATATTCAGTATGATTATAGAATGCATACTATTTTAATAGGCTGTCTAAAAATAAGAATCTAGCCTTGTCTTTCAGCTTTGAGGGTAATAACACTATTTCTTCAGTCTCTTAAATTTGAAGTCTAGATTATAGATTACTGCATGGTTTTTTTCCTTAGAAGTTTTAAGAACCCAATGTTATTTTATTCAAAATATGTTATCTTTGGGTGGAATATGACCTTCAAAAGGCCAAGGTTTCCTATAAGTACTCAGGGCACACTGGAAGGGAAACTCAAAAAGAGTCTAACTTATATTCTAGAAGTTTCTTTTTAGTTCTGATTTTTTTTTTTCCCATTTGTCCATCAAAAAGCGGCTGTGCTAGCTTTTGAAAAATTTCAAGTCATCAAGCTATATAGAAGAAGTGGAGGGATGGTTTTATTCTCTTTGTGCTTCTAGAGAGGAGTGCTGTGGGTTAAAGCACTGGACCGCAAGGTCAGTTTGAATCACAAGTTGGTTCAAACTCACCAGGTGCTTCTTGGAAACCCTATACAGGGTCGCTATGAGTCAGCGCCAACTCAATGGCACTAAACAACAACTACTATTACTATTCAAAAGAGTAAAACATATAGGTTAGGAATAGTGGAATTATACTGAGTCCTAGTGTGGCACTGTAAGATAAGCACTGGACTACTAACCACAACTGCTCTTTGGTGAGTCGTAACTAACACGATGGCATTTAACAACAACAACATAACATTTTTTTAGTTGAGCTAACCTGTAGAAATTAAATTAGTAGTTTGAAATAATCTGAAGGTACACGTATGTGTGAGAATAGGGCAAATTTCCCTCACCGTATGTAGTGGAAGCAACTCCAGTGGCATTTTGACACTTTTAATTAAGTAATGATAGTAGTTTATTCTTGTTATATATATATTGTAGAATGATTAACAATTCCCTTAGCAATAAACTAAGAATTAAACAGTTGTTGATGTTATTAGTAGTCCTGGTGTGACGCTGTAGTTTTGTTCTGTTTGTGCTTTTTATGAGAGCTCTCTATTAAACTACTCAAAAGAGGAAAGCACATAGCTTGGGAATACTGGAATTATACCATGTATAGAAATTTAGTAGCATTTAGGCACGTTTAATTAAGTAAATATAATAGTTTATCCTTTTATATAAATATTGTAGAATGATTAGCAATAAACAACCCCTGTATAGGGGTTCCTGAGGCTGTAAATCTACGGGAGCAGAAAGCCTCATCTTCCCCACACAGAAGAACTTGTAGTTTTGATCCGCTGACCTTAAGATTAGCAGCCCAACTCATAACCACTACACTACCAGAGCTCCATTTAACCTCTAAGTGGTGGTGGTGGTTAACCTGAATTTTTTCTCTAGGCATGCAGTAACTGCTTAGACCTCTGGGCGCCGCTGTTCACCAATCAGCCCTCACATACGAAAAGAAATTAAAAAAAAAAAAAAAAAGAGCTGTGCCTCTTGGAACCTTACTCATTGCCAGATTAAGAGCAGTCCTCATGAAATTATCCCCAAACCGTAATTTTGGACTGCTCCTTGTTCTGAATTCTCCTAAAAATTCGGGTGGTTTAGGCTCAGAAGCGCAGAGAAACGATACCCTTGTTACCGGATTGGGAGAAAACTACCAAGCGCTAACAATGGCGATTCGGCTGAAGAGGCTCTCAGGCTACAGCGGGCTGGCACTGCTGTGCCTTTTTGAGGGGCTGCTGTTTGAAGCTAGGGCCGGCAAGATTCGCTACTCGGTGGCAGAAGAGACAGACAAAGGTTCCTTCGTAGGCAACATTGCCAAGGACCTGGGGCTACAACCCCAGGAGCTGACGGAGCGCGAAGTCCGCATCGTCTCCAGAGGTAAGATGCAGATTTTTGCTTTGAACCCACGAAGCGGTAGCTTAATCACCGCGGGCAGGATAGACCGGGAAGAACTCTGCGCTCAGAGCGCGCTGTGTCTGGTGAATTTTAACATCCTACTAAAGGATAAAATGAAGCTTTTCCCTGTCGAAGTGGAAATAATTGATATTAATGACAATACTCCCCAATTCCAGTTAGAGGAACTGGAAGTTAAAATGAATGAAATAACCACTGTAGGTACTAGAATCCCTCTCCCGTTTGGGCAAGATCTTGATGTGGGGATGAACTCACTCCAGAGCTACCAGCTCAGCTCCAATCCTCATTTCTCCCTAAAAGTGCAACAGGGAGCTGATGGACCCCAACACCCAGAGATGGTGCTGCAAAGTCCGTTAGATAGGGAAGAAGAAGCTGTCCACAACCTAGTGCTCACAGCCTCTGATGGGGGTGACCCCGTCCGCTCTGGCACCCTTCGCATACACGTTCAGGTGGTGGACGCGAACGACAATCCTCCAGCTTTTACTCAGGCACAATACAACGTAAGTGTCCCTGAGAACGTCCCACTGGGTACTCGGCTGCTTGTCGTAAATGCCACAGACCCAGATGAGGGAGCCAATGGGGAAGTAACATACTCCTTCCACAATATAGACCACAGAGTGGCCCAAATATTTCAATTGGATTCTCACACTGGAGAAATATTAAATAAAAAACCATTGGACTTTGAGGAATATGAAATATATCCCATGGAAATTCAAGCTCAGGATGGTGCTGGACTCATGGCCAGAGCTAAGGTGCTGGTCAAAGTTCTGGATGTGAATGATAATGCCCCAGAGATGACCATCACCTCTGTCACCACTGCAATTCCAGAAAACTTTCCTCCTGGAACCATAATTGCTCTTATCAATGTGCATGACCAGGACTCTGAAGAAAATGGTCATACCACATGTTCCATTTCTGAAAATCTGCCCTTTAAATTAGAAAAGTTAGTTGACAATTATTACCACTTAGTGACAGAAAGAATACTAGACAGAGAATTTACCTCTGGGTACAACATCACGGTGATTGTAGCAGATAAGGGAACTCCAGCTCTGTCTACTGAAACTCACATTTCACTTCTAGTGACAGATATCAATGACAACCCTCCCACCTTCCCTCAAGAATCCTACTTTGCCTATATTCCTGAAAACAATCCCAGAGGTGCCTCCATCTTTTCTATGATTGCCCACGACCTTGACAGCAATGAGAATGCACGAGTCACTTACTCCCTGACTGAAGACACTATCCAGGGGGTGCCTGTGTCCTCCTACTTCTCTATCAACTCTGACACAGGAGTCCTGTATGCCCTTCGCTCCTTTGACTTTGAGCAGTTCCGAGACTTGCAGTTGTCGGTGACAGCAAGAGACAATGGGGACCCACCACTCAGCAGCAATGTGTCACTGAACCTGTTAGTGCTGGACCAGAATGACAATGCTCCCGAGATCCTGTACCCCACGCTACCCAGTGATGATTCCACTGGTGTGGAGCTAGCACCCCGTTCAGCAGAGCCTGGCTACCTGGTGACCAAAGTGGTAGCGGTGGACAGAGACTCAGGGCAGAATGCATGGCTGTCCTACCATGTACTCAAAGCCAGTGAGCCAGGGCTTTTCTCAGTGGGGGTGCACACAGGCGAGGTGCGAACGACCCGGGTCCTGCAGGACAGAGATGCATTCAAACAGAGCCTTGTGGTGGCCGTCCAGGACCACGGACAGCCTCCTCTCTCGGCCACAGTCACTCTCACCGTGGCCATTGCTGACAGCATTCCCGAGGTCCTAGCCGACCTGGGCAGCGTCAAGACCCCTGTCAACTCCAACGACTCAGGCCTCACGCTGTACCTGGTAGTGGCAGTGGCCGCAGTCTCCTGCATCTTCCTCGCCTTCGTCATTGTACTGATGGCTCTCAGGCTTCGGCGCTGGCACATCTCACGCCTGCTCCAAGCTAGGAATAGAGGATTGGCAGATGTACCCGCCTCTCACTTTGTAGGCATGGACGGGGTGCAGGCTTTCCTGCAGACTTATTCCCATGAGGTCTCCCTCACCGCAGATTCCCGAAAGAGCCAACTGATTTTCCCCCAGCCCAACTATGCGGATACGCTCATCAGCCCCAACAGCTGTGAGAAAAAGGATTTTTTATCAGCACCTCAACCTTTACTTGAAGACAAACAAGAAACATTTCCCCAGGTAAACTCTTTGTAGTGAATTTATACTCTCTCTATATAAAAAAATAGTTCCTGATTTTACTTACTGGTTTCCCTCTTTCCTAGTTTTTCTACTTCATAGATGATAGATAGATAGATGGATAGATTTCTATTAAAATTCTGGAAAATCACTATTAGCCTGTATGCATGTTAATATCAGATGTATTTGTAATAGTTTTACATTGAAAAGGAAATTGTAATCCTAATGTAGGTTAATAGAATAAAGAGTGTTTTCACTGTGGTAAGAACACTGTTATCAGCAAAGGAATGTAGCTTCTAATATCTTATTGCTGACATCTGGTCAAATCATTTCATTGCTGTGATGTTATCATCCGTTATCTGCAAAGGATAGGGTTTGACTAGAAAATTCCTCAAATTCCTTCTTGCTTTAAATTGTTATTTTGTAAAATTTCAGTTATTTTCGTATTTAAGAATTATACTAATATTTAAGATTTTTTAAACCCACCAATATTTATGGGACTACTATTATTTTCAGATTTACTTACGTTGTTAATTCCTAGTTTACCCTTCAATTTAATGTAGATGTCATTTGTTAGGATGATGCTATGATTTATTTAGGGATATTTGAAAAGTTGTTGTTGTTGTTGTTAAGTACTGTCGAGTTGGCTCCGACCCATAGTGACCCTGTATAGGGTTTCCAAGGAGCAATTTAGTGATCTTGAACTGCCAAACCTGCGGTTCAAACCAACTTTTCAGTTCAGCACATTAACCCACAGAGCCACACCAGGACTCCATTTGAAGAGTTGTTGTTGTTAGGCAACTCATAGCGACCCTATACAGGGTTTCCAAGGCTATAAATTTTTACGGGAGCAGAAAGCCTCATCTTTTTCCCGCAGAGCAGCTGGTAGTTTCAAACTGCTGACCCTGAGGTTAGTAGCTCAATTTGTAACCACCATGCTACCAGAGCTCCTTATTTGAAGAGTAGAGATTGTTTAAAATAGTATTTTCAATTGTGTCCTGGTGTGGCGCTATAGGGTAAGCACTGGACTGCTAACCACAAGGTCAGCAGTTCAAACCCACCAGCCTCCTCCTAGGAAACCTTATACAGTGTCACTAAGAGTTGAAACCGACTTGATGGTATATAACAACAATAACAATATTATGGAAATTCATATATACTACACATTTAAATAATTATTAAATATATTAGCTCTTTGTTTAGTCATATGAAATATCTTATGCATGCTGAAATATACATCTAATATTTAAATTATTTATAAAATGAACAGAAAATGAAATATGTAGCTGATACATTGTACCTATAATGGAAACAATGACCAAAAATCATATATATTCCATTTTGATGTGTGTGTTAACTCTTTGAAAGAAGAAATGAATCATAGGGGAGTAAATCCATGCATTGCCTTACTCTGTTCCAAGATATTACAGAGGCAGACAAAATGAAAAAAGAGGAGTCAGGCACAAATATGATATAAATATATAAAGCAAGGGTTCCTGCAGTGGTGGTATTGTTTCTGGGACTATTGATTGGTTCCTGGAGAGACACAGAGCCAACAGAAAGGTTCAGCCCAGGCTCCCTAGATATGGTGCTCTTTCCAGGTTGTTTTGAAATAAAACTTGCCTTTTTGCAGAGGGAGAAGGGCAGGAGGGAAATGGGTGAGGGTGGAGGGGGAGTTTTAAAAGTTTGTGGGAAAATTCCATTATCTTGCTATTCCACTTTTCCATGAACTTTCAGACACACCCGTTTGTGTGTGTGTGTGTGTTTGAGAGAGAGAAAGACATCAATGGGACCAGAAATGGAACAAAAAGTAGTGAGTCGGCCTAAAGTCGTTGGAGTTCTAGTCTTAGATTTAAAAACAGATATTGCAGATCTGGAGATTGGCTCCAACTGTGATGTGAGCCAAAAGTGCCTTAGGCTAAACTGCCTGGATCCAAACTAAGCAGTAATACATACCCCTTAGCTAGTAAAAAAGGGGAGTGGCTTGCATAAAAATGCTGCTCAAACCAGCCAGCTGCCCCTAGGAAACACTTTACAGAGTTGGAACAACATGAACAACAACCAATTTCTTGCAGACTCATTGCAAGTTACAGACCACTGGAGAGAGATGGACACAGGCAACAAATACTGATCCTCTCACACTTGAAATGTAATATTCAGATTATTAATTGCCTTGCAGGACCCAAAGTACTATTAAAAGACCTAGCTATGGCCTAGGACTTGGGGCCAGATAGAAACAATTTCAAAACCATTGAAGATAGAGCACTGAATCCAGGAGGATGGGAGAGAGAGAGAGTAAAAAGAGAGGGGGAAAAAAATTTCTAATCTTTCACTAAAACGTGCATGTTAAAATTGTGAAATGAGTAAGTATAATACTAAGGAAACAGCAACATCAACCAGAACATTATTTTACATCAGATGACACAAATTTTATGGAAAAGCTGAGACGGACATAACTATGTTGCAGTGCCCAATGAAACACATGAAGATACAATATTCATACCAAGGAAAATATAGTAAACAATAAATTAAATTATAAATATATGAAAAACAATGCTGTCACTATGTGTTGAGTCAGTTCCAACAAATAATGACGCTATGTACAACAGAATGAAACACTGCCCTATCCTGCACCATTGTCATAATTTCTGATACACTTGACTCCATTGTTGTGTCAATCCATCTCATTGGGGTCTCCTTCTTTTTCACTGTCCTTCCACTTTACCAAGTATGATGTCCTTCTCCAGGGACTGGTCCCTCCTGATATTATGTCTAAAGTATCAGAGACAAAATCTGGTCATCTTGGCGTCTAAGGAACATTTTGGTTGTATGTTTTCCAACACAGATGTGTTTGTTCTTATGGCAGTCCATGGTACCATTAATATTCTTCTCCAACACCATAACTCAAATGCATCAATTCTTCTATGGTCTTCCTTATTCATTGTCCAACTTTCACAAACATATGAGGCTATTGAAGAATACCATGGCTCACAGGCGCACATTAGTCACTAACATCTTTGCTCTTAAACACTTCTTAAAAGTACAGCAGATTTGCCTAATGTAATGTGTTCAATCTTTTGTTTCCTGACTGCTGCTTTCATGAGTGTTGATGGTTGATCTAAGCAAAATGAAGTCTTTGACAACTTCAATCTTTTCTCCGTTTATATGGATGTTGTTTATTGGTCCAGTGGTGAAGATTTTTGTTTTCTTTACACTGAGGTGCAACCCATACCAAAGGCTGTGGTCTTTGATCTTCACCAGCAAGACAAGGAAAAAAGAAAAGACCAAAATGGATGTCAGAAGAGAATCTGAAACTTGCTTTCCAGCATAGAGATGCTAAAGAAAATGGAAGAAATGAAGTAAAAGAGCTGAACAGAAAAATTTCAAAGGGAAGTTTGAGAAGACAATATAACGAAATGTGCAAAGACCTGGAGTTAGAAAACCAAAAGGAAAGAACACATTCAGCATCTCTCAAGCTGAATTAACTGAGGAGAAAATTCAAGCCTCGATTTGAAATACTGAAGGATTCTTATGGCAAAATGTTAAATGATGCAGAAAGCATCAAAAGAAAATAGAAGGAATACACTGAGTCACTGTATCAAAAAGACATGGTCGATGTTTAACCATTTCAAGAGGTAGCATATAATCAAGAACCAACGATACTGAAGGAAGAAGTCAAATGTGTACTGAAGGCATTGGCAAAGAAAAGGACTTTGGGAATTGATGGAACACAAATTGAAATCTTTCAGCAAGCTGACGCAGCAGTGGAGGCACTCACTCATCTATGCGTAGAAATTTGGAAGACAGCTACTTAGCCAACTGATTGAAAGAGATCCATATTTGTGCCCATTCCAAAGAGAGGTAACCCAGTGGAATGCGGAAGTCATATGACAATATTAATATCACATGCAAGTAAAATTTTGCTGGAGATCATTTTTAAATGCCTGCAACAGTACATTCAAGCAAGATTCAGATGATGACATGGAACAAGGGATATAATTGCTGATGTCATATGGATCTTGACTGAAAGCAGAGAATACCAGAAATTACCTGTGCTTTATTGCCTATGCAAAGGCTTTTGACTGTGTGGATCATGACAAGCTATGGACAACACTGCAGAAGATAAATATTTCAGAACACTAAATCAGGCTCATGAGGAGCCTGTAGATAGACCAGGAGGCAGTCATTCAAACAGAACAAGGGAACACACAATGGTTTAAAATCAGGAAAGATGTGAGCCAGAGTTGAATCCTTTCACCATACTTATTCAATCTGTATACTGAGCAAATAATCCAAGAAACTGAATTATATAGAGTAACATGGTATCAGGATTGGAGGAAGGCTCATTAACAACCTGCGATATGAAAAAAAAAAACAACAGTAGTTAGAAAGCAAATAAATTACAGGTATTAAAGTAAAAGAAGAATACTTGATAATTGAGATAAAATAATATTGGCTAGGGGACAATGAACAGCATGATGAACAAACACTGTCACTGTGAAGACGAGATGGTAAATGCTTTGTTACTTATATATTTACTCCAAGGGGAAAAAATGAGATAGGAAATAACTGAATATAAGATTGTTGTTGTTCAGTGCTGTTGAGTCGATTCCGACCCATAGTGACCCTGTATAGGGTTTCTGAGGAGCAACTGGTGAGCTTGAACTGCCAACCTTGAGGTTCAAGCCAACATTGCAGCCCATTTCATTAGCTCACAGTGCCACACCAGAAATCGAATACAAGATTAAAGAACAGGAATATTCTAAGGAAAATTCACCCATAATGCAGCATTGTTGTTGTTGTTAAGTGCCGTCGAATCGGTTCTGACCCATAGCGACCCTGTACAGGGTTTTCGAGGGTGTAAATCTTTACAGGAGTAGAAAGCCTCATCTTTCTCCCGCGGAGCGGCTGGTAGTTTCGAACCGCTGACCTTGAGGTTCGCAGCCCGATTCGTAACCACTACTCTATCATTAAATTAAACAAATGTATTACGTGATGAGAATATTTAAGAACTTACAAAAAATGTCAGACATAATGGTGAAAATCTAGTAGCATTTCCATAAAAATCAAGGTAAGACAGATGTACTGGTATGGTTGTTGTTGTTAATGTGCCGTGGAGTTGTTCAGTCGACTCATAGTGACCCTGTACAGGGTTTCCGAGGCTGTAAGTCTTTACGGGAGCAGAAAGCCTCCTCTTTCTCCCACGGAACAGCTGGTAGTTTCGAACTGCTGACCTTTCGGTTCGTAGCCCTATTCGTAACCACTACGCTACCAGAGCACCTATTAAATGTTTGCTAAAGGAATTAACCAATGCAAAAAGCTAAGAAAATGGTGGTGGTTGTGTGCCTCCGACTCCTAGTGAGCCTTTATAGGGTTTCCGAGACTGCAGTCTTTACAGGATCAGAAAGCCTCATCTTTCTCCCATGGAGTGACTTGAAGAGTCAAACTGCTGACCTTATGGTTAGCAGCTGAGTTTGTAATCCACTATGCTACCAGGGTGCCACATAGGAGTTATAAAATTAGAATGGGAAAGACAAAATAATTCTTTGTAGATACTGTGATTTTTCCATGCCACACCAGGTCTAATATACAGCTATACAGAGAATTGTTGTTAAATGCCATAGAGTCTGCCGATCTTGCATTTCAAACTGACCTTTGGGTCCAGTGCATTATCTTGCAGTACCACACCAGTACTCATTGCAACCATGTATAGGGTTCCTGAGGCTCTCTGAGATCAGAATGCCTCATCTTTCTCCCAAGGAGGGATGATAGGCTTGAATCATTTTTAACCTTGTGGTTCACAGTTTAGTGCTAATCCTACAAAGCTACTGGGGTCCCAAGCAAATGTATAAGAACAATCAAAATAATTTTGAAGAAAAATAACAAAATGAAAGAAATTACTCTGTCATAGATCAAGATTTTTCTTAAAGTTATGGTAGTTAAACAGGTCGTTACAATAAAAATATGTTGGGGGGAGCGGGAGAGAAAACATGAAACTAAATAAAGTAAATGTTAACATTTAGGCTAGTAGGAGTAGAGAGTATATGGGAATTCTTTGTACTTTTTAAAAAATGTTTTATTGTGAATTATGTGATAGTGTACATGGGAGAATATTAGCTTTACAGTCATCCTACTGTATACTGTTTCATTGCCATGATTACAATCCCCTCCATGCATCATCAAACAACCAACCAAAGGGTATACCCTGCAAGCCTGCCCCTCCATAGTCAGCACACATCTCCTCTCCCTTTCTGGGTCTAGAGTTCCCAGTCGCCCCATCTCTCCACGTCATCGTCTCTGCCTCCATCTCTTTGTACTGTTTTTGCAACTTTTCTGTAAGTCTGAAATAATTTCAAAATAAAAAATATATTAAAATTGGTTTGAATTAATTATGTTAAATTTTGATAACACTGTGTGTACAAAGATTTTAGTAATAGCATTTTCTCATTACATACTTTAAATATTTCTAATTTAATTTCTGTAAAAGCAAATGTATGATGCTTACATACATAAAAATGAAACAAGAAAGAAGAGGCCCACTGTTGTATTTTTATGCTCTTAGAAAATATTAAATATCAGAAAAAAGATTTAGCAACCTCAAACAATTTTGAGTCCCTGACTTTGCATGTGATGAAAACTTCCTCTTGCTCTTGCTTTAGACAATAAAACTACCTTCCACCTCTGAGTATTTGTAGGAAGATTCTAGAACACCACTCCAACCTCTTTACTGATCCAATCATGTCCTAAGCAAGTCTTTCCTGACCCTCAGATCTAGGTGAATATGCATTTTCCTATCACCCAGCACCATCATAGCAGTCACCATGCTCTTTTACACTACTCTGCTGACTTTCCTATGTTTTCACTAGATTGTAAGCTTCCGGAGGGCCTGAACTGTGTTCATCAGATTTTATCTCTAGCATCTAGTGTCAGGCAAATGATAATCACCCAATTAAGTATTTGATGATTCAAATTTAAAATTTTTAAGTTAAATACCTGTCACCAAGCAAAGAAATTTAAGAGAAGTAACCTTATAAGATAATCTAGCTAATGATTTTGAGTTGGTCTTAACTGTCTCAAATACAAAATACGAGGGAAGATATTTAGAGCAGTATCATTTTGAGGCAATCTTGAGTGTTGAAAAATACTTCCATGTCGACTAACATCGGAGTCACATTCATTTATACCATTTTTTTAATTAATGCCGAGAAAAAGATCCCTGTCTTAAAGGAGCTACTTTTACAGTGTATTAGAACTTCATGATTCTTCAAAGTAACTGAAAATCACAAGGCAAATTTTAGTAAGTAACTTGGATTCGCCTGAACTGATGCAGAAATGAATTAGGCCTCTGAGCGTCGCTGTTGACCATCTAAGCCGCAAAAGACCGGGGAACCACCCAGTCCAACCTTCCGGCTCGCATAACACAAAGGCTAATCATTTGGGTAAACAAGCTTCAGGGCGGCAAAGAAATTCAGCCCAGAAGCCTTACTAGATCTCTCTCCAGAGTGACCTAGATCCGTGAATTCCTATCACCTCGGACTCTGAGGAATAAGTGTTGGAACCTCGGACTGGATATTAGAACTTAACTCGGAGAAAAGACTGCAGCAGAAGGAAATGGCGGCTCAGCAAAAGTTTCCACACTGCAGAAGGCTCATCCTGCTGTGCTTTCTTTTGGCAACCCAGTGGGAGGCCGCGGCTGGGCAGATGCGCTATTCTGTGCCAGAAGAGATCGACAAAGGCTCTTTCGTGGGCAACATCGCCAAAGACTTAGGGTTGGAGCCCCTGGCACTGGCAGAGCGGGGAGTCCGCATTATCTCTAGAGGTAGGATGCAACTTTTCTCTCTGAACCCGCGGACGGGCAGTTTGATCACTGCGGATAGGGTAGATCGCGAGGAGCTTTGCGCTCAAAGTGCGCGGTGTCTGGTGAATTTTAACATACTACTGCAAGATAAACTGAATATTTATTCAGTAGAAGTGGAAATAACAGATATTAATGATAACGCTCCTCGCTTTGGAGTAGAAGAATTGGAACTAAAAATCAGTGAAACGACTACACCAGGATTCCGGATTCCTCTTAAGAGTGCCCATGATGCGGACGTAGGTGAGAACACCCTCCAGAAATATGAACTCAACCCAAATGACCACTTCTCTCTGGATGTGAGAAGTGGAGCAGATGGGAACAAGTACCCAGAGTTGGTGCTGCAGCGTGCCCTGGACCGCGAAGAAGAGGCTGTTCACTACCTCCTTCTCTTGGCTTCCGACGGGGGCGACCCTGTCCAATCTGGCACCTTACAAATCCGTGTGACAGTCCTGGATGTGAACGACAACGCGCCAGTTTTTACTCAGCCTGAGTACCTTGTAAGTGTTCCGGAGAATATGCCCATAGGCACCCGGATACTCACGGTAAGCGCCACTGATGCAGATGAGGGATACAACGCTCAAGTAGCATATTTTCGAGAAAAAAAACCTGGAGACACGTCAGAGGTATTTGAGCTTAAGTCGACATCTGGAGATATAGTGATCACAAAAGATCTAGATTATGAGGATGCCAAATTCCATGAAATTGATGTTGAAGCTCAGGATGGTCCTGGACTTCTGACCAGAACGAAGGTCATTGTCACCGTTCTGGACGTGAATGACAATGCCCCAGAATTTTACATGACATCTGCTACTAGCTCAGTTACTGAAGACTCTCCACCAGGAACCATAATTGCACTTTTCAATGTACATGACAGAGACTCCGGGCAGAACGCGTTTATCCAATGTTCACTCCAGGAGAACCTTCCTTTCAAGTTAGAAAGATCAGTGGACAATTACCATCGACTAGTTACAACCAAACCTCTGGACAGGGAGCAGATTTCCTTTTACAACATCACTGTGACAGCAAAAGATGGAGGGAATCCATCTCTGTCCACAGATGCTCACATTTTACTGCAGGTGACAGACATCAATGACAATCCACCTGCCTTCCCTCACTCATCCTATTCTGCCTATATTCCTGAAAACAATCTCAGAGGCACTTCCATCTTCTCTGTGACGGCCCATGACCCCGACAATGATGACAATGCCCAGATAACTTATTCCTTGGCAGAGGAAACTATCCAGGGAGAACCTGTGTCCTCCTATGTTTCCATCAACTCGGACACAGGAGTCCTGTATGCACTACGCTCTTTTGACTTTGAGCAGTTCCATAACCTTCTATTGTGGGTGACTGCCAGCGACAGTGGGGACCCATCACTCAGCAGTAATGTATCCATAAGTCTGATAGTGCTAGACCAGAATGATAATGCACCCGAGATCCTGTATCCTGCATTACCCACCGATGGCTCCACTGGAGTGGAACTAGCACCCCGTTCCGCAGAACCCGGCTACCTGGTCACCAAAGTGGTGGCAGTGGACAGAGACTCAGGTAAGAATGCCTGGCTGTCCTACCGCCTGCTCAAGACCAGTGAGCCAGGTCTCTTCGCAGTGGGGGTGCACACCGGTGAGGTGCGCACGGTGCGGGCCCTGCAGGACAGAGACGCGCTCAAGCAGAACCTTGTGGTGGCTGTCCAGGACCATGGCCAACCTCCTCTCTCAGCCACTGTCACGCTCACCATTGCTGTGGCAGACAGTATCCCTGACATCCTGGCTGACCTAAGCAGCCTCGAGCCTGCCCATGACTCTGACGCCTCCAATCTCACGCTGTACTTGGTGGTGGCTGTGGCCGCAGTCTCCTGCGTCTTCCTTGCCTTTGTCATTGTGCTTCTAGCACTCAGAGTGCGTCACTGGCACAAGTCTCGACTGCTTCCGACCACCAGTGGTGGTGTGGCTGGCGTGCCTGCCTCACACTTTGTGGGTGTGGATGGGGTACAAGCTTTTCTGCAGACCTATTCTCATGAAGTCTCCCTCACCTCGGACTCCAGAAAGAGTCACCTGATCTTCCCCCAACCCAACTACGCAGACACACTCATCAGTCATGACAGCTGTGAGAAAAAGGATTTTCTGTCAGCATCTCAATCTCTACTTGAAGGTGAAGGACAAGAAATATTTTCTCAGGTAAACTATATCTTCATCATATATTTAGGAGCTATTTTATTAAAAATAAACAAATTATCCAGTTTATTTAGCTGCCTCCACCATTTACTATATGTACCTGTTTTTTTCCTTGAGAATATTTTAGATTTCTAGAAAATGAGTCCAGGTGAATTTTTTCTAAATAGTTCGAAGTGTTCACTAACTGTAAGAGGAGAAGGGACTAGAGTCATTGCAGAGATAGGTGATATTTAGGTTATCCAAAGCGTATAGCACTATCCCTGGGAATATCATTTAGCTACCTAGGTCAACAATTCTTTCTTTCTTAAAAATATGAAGGCTAGATTTTGTTTTCGCAAGCCTCTTCCTCCATAAAAACTGTAGGCTTTCTTGTTTTTTTATGAATAGTGAAATAGTCTTAGTTGGTTAGTAAATAGTGAAATGCCCTAGTTGGTTAGTTCCTTCTCAGTCTGTTTTCATGTTTTCTTTCCATTTAAACATAACCTTTTTCCTTTTGCTTGCTTTGCATGCCCTTTTCTTATGAAAAAGATGATAGTTTAGAAATATACATTCTTTACAGGAAGGTTTGTATCAGGAAAGACTGTAATGGTATCTCTGCTTAGTTAAAAATCTCATCACAGTCTCTAAATGTCTATGTGTTTCTTGAAGAAGTGAATGAGTTATCATTTGTTCTATAATAAGTTGGAAGAGTAATAGCAAACAGATTTCTCTTTGTTGCTACTTTTTATTTTTCTTGTATCTGGACATCATAGTGCCTGCTTTTCCTTAAAAATAACATAGCTTTAACATAACTTCACTAAAAGAAAAGATACAAGGAATTTGGAGGCCATATCATGAAATTGCACCTAAAGATCTTCTTTATACCTCTTTCTTCTCAAAGTTTCCCACTCACAACAGCTGCTAAAATTTTTCCCGATCCCTCAACCAGCTCCTGCTTCCCCTTTAAACCGCAATATTTCTTATCCACTCATTTTTCTATGTTGCCTTTTAATATGTGCCATGGAGTCGGTTCCCACTCATAGTGACCTTGTATAGGATTTCTGAGGCTGCAAATCTTTGCAGGAGCATAAAGCCTCATCTTTCTCTAGCAGAACCTCTGGTAGTTTTGAATGGCTGACCATGAGATTAACAGCCCGTCTTGTAACCACTATGCTGCCAGATTCAAGAACAGAGAACAATTCTCTATAATGGGATATTTTTTCATTTTGCTTTAATGCTAACAATGTACTTACATGAGCCATTATAACATGTGGTGTCATCATCTTGAGGTACTATGATTCTTTATTATACTGTTGTTGTTGTTAAGTACTGTGGAGTCAGTTCCAACTCATAGTGACCCCTGCGTGAGGGTTTCCGAGGCTGCAAATCTTTATAGGAGCAGAAAGCTTCATCTTTCTCCCGTGGAACAGCTGGTAGTTTTGAACTACTGACCTTGAGCTTAGCAGCCCAATTTGTAACCACTACACTACCAGAGCTCCTTTATTATACTAAGGTGAGTCAAAAGTTATCCACACTCCAGCTATATTAAAACTTCTGTTGCCTGCACTGTCTTATCAGTGCTTTCCATTCAAGGTCACTGCTGTGCAGGTGTGAGCATGGACATCAGCAAACAAAATTTGGACTGATACTTGAAGGAAAGTAAAAGTTTCTTTTTAAACATTGTCACTGGTGACAAGACATGGATTCATCACTACAAGCCTGAGCATAAACAGCAAAGTATGGAATGGAAGCATTCTCAATCACCAACCAAGAAAAAGTTCAAAAGTCAACCATCAACTGGAAAATTGATGCTTTCAGTTTTCTGAGATTCTCAAGAACCAGTATTAGAACACTATTAAGAAAAAGGTTCAACAATCAACAGTGCGCTTTACAGTGAAGAGCCGAAGCCTAAACTTCAGATAAGCACAGAGGACTGCTATCCATGGGCATTGTGATCTTGAATGACAGTGCACATCCATACACGTTTGCCCACACTATGGACACTCTGCAAAAACTTTGCTTTGAGGTATTAAAGCATCTTCCCTATAGTCTTGAGCTTACTCCTTAGGACTTTCACTTGTTTGTTCCCCTGGAAGCAGCCCTTTGAGGACAAAGATTCACTTCTGATGAAGAAGTGAAGACATCAATGCATTTGTTGCTCGAAGCTCAACCTAAAACATTTTGTAATAAAGAAATATGAAAGCTTGTTGACAGATAGACAAAATGTATTGGAAAGCAAAGAGATTGTGTCAAAAATTATGCATTTGTCTTTTCTAAAAGTTGATTAAACTCTATAGCTACAGTGCAGATAATGTTTAACTCACCTTCATATTTAGGACCATCAAATTTATGGGAGGTAATTTATTCCATTGTGTTCAGTGTTATTGTTGTTAAGTGTTGTTGAGTCAGTTCCTACTCATAGTGACCCTGCGTAGGGTTTCTGAGGAGCAGCTGGTAAGTTGGAGCCGCTGACCTTAGGGTTCAAACCAACCTTTCGGTCAACTGCTTATCCTGTAACAACAACTATTACATAATCTCTACGAGGTAAAATTTGAACTTATTGTGGAACAATATGTCATTAGATCTTTACTTGGAAGGAAAATAATAAAGTCCAAGAAATATTAAAGACAGTACCTTTTTAGTGTATGCAACTCTTCGTCACCAGAACTACTTTATGCACAGGCATATAATGCATTATAATTGAAATTACAAATCCAAGTATATTGTATTTCTATTTCTGGGCTTGCAGAGGGAAATAAATACAGGGAAAGGAACTCGAAGATAAAATAAAAGATTGTCTGTACTTGTTCCCATGATGGCTTTACAAAAAAGAAACTTAACATTCTGGATTTAGACAACGCAAGCATCTTTCAGTATCCTGAAGGCCTGTAATTTTTCTCTCTCACATATAGGCATCATCGTTGCTGTTCTCCCTCATGTTTCAGCCTTTTCCCTAATCTATTTCTCTCATTCTTCCTGAAAATGCCTCTGTTAACCTTCAAGGCCTGGTTGGGGTTCCTCCCATCACCTTCAGCATTTCCCAGTAGGGTAGTTATTTCACTGAAGTATAATTACCTGTTTTTTTCATGCCTTCATAAACCTGTAATCCCCACTGACAAGCGCATGTTTGATCTAGTAGCTACCCAATTGTATTTATATTTAGTGGATAGATTAAATAAAAAAATAGTGAAACCAAGATGCCAGGCTATCAAGAACAAACTTCAAGAGAAATACCCTGTAAATAGGGTTTGATATTTCCATGTGGTTCTTAAACTGAACATTTCAGCACAATAACTCCCCGATGTTTGGAGCAAGCTATACTAGTGACATTAGGAGCTCTGGTAGCGTAATGGTTACGAATCGGGCTATGAATCTTAAGGTCAACGGTTCGAAACTACCAGCAGCTCCGCGGGAGAAAGATGAGGCTTTCTACTCCCGTAAAGATTTACACCCTCGGAAACCCTGTACAGGGTCGCTATGGGTCGGAACCGACTCGACGGCACTTAACAACAACAACATATTAGTGACATTACGTTTAATGAGTGATTTCTCAAAGAGGCTAATTTTAAGTTGCACCCTTTAACATGTATCAGTTCCCTTGTGGGAAATAAACACCAGTCCCTTTACATCTATATGTTTTGAATGTAGAGAAACAACAAACAAAAAAAAGTAACTTGGGTTTCTCTGAGAGGGTGCAGTAAACGGTTAGGCCTCTGAACGTCGCTGTTGACCACTCAAGAAGGAAAACGCAGCTAGAGAGCTAGCTGACTATTTCCTTGCTCCTAAAACAAGAACCACTTAGTCAGACTCAGAAGATCTAGGATTGCTAAGAAAGTCAATTGGCTCTGCGACCTGTGAATTGGATCCATAAACATTTCATTCCTTGAGGAAATAAGATTGGAGTCCGTTGTATGAAACTGGAACAGAATACAGAAAACAAGCAATGCACCAAAAAAACGAAATGACGAATTGTCTGGGATTCCGAAAAGGTAGAGGACTGGCCCTGCTGTGCGCGCTACTGGGAACGCTGTGTGAGTCCGGATCCGGGCAGATTAACTACTCAGTGCCTGAGGAGCTGGACAAAGGCTCTTTCGTGGGCAACATCGCCAAGGATTTGGGGCTGGAGCCTTGGGAGCTGACGGAGCGCGGAGTCCGCATCGTTTCCAGAGGTAGGACGCAGCTTTTCTCTCTGAACCCGCGAAGCGGCAGCCTGATTACTGCGGGCAGGATAGACCGCGAGGAGCTCTGCGCTCAGAGGACTCAGTGTCTGGTGAAATTTAACATCCTGATTGAAGACAAATTGAAAATTTTTGAAGTAGAAATAGAAATTAAAGACATTAATGATAATGCTCCTGATTTCATAACACAAGAATTGGAAATAAAAATTAATGAGCTAACAGCTCCTGGAACCCGGTTCCCACTGAAAACTGCATTTGACCCAGATATGGGCATGAACTCCTTGCAGAACTACCAGCTCAGCCCCAATGACTACTTCTCCCTATCTATAAAGAGTGTTCCTGGTGGGCCCAAATACCCGGAGCTGGTCCTGGAGCGGACCCTGGACCGGGAGAGACTTGAAGCTCACCAACTTGTCCTCTCTGCTAATGATGGTGGTGACCCTGTCCGTTCTGGTAACCTATACATTCAAGTGATAGTTATGGATGCAAATGACAATCCACCAGAGTTTACTCAACCTGAATACCATGTAAGTGTTTTGGAGAACGTGCCAGTGGGCACCCAGCTACTCAGGGTGAATGCCACAGATCCTGATGAAGGATTCAATTCTCAAGTGTCCTATATCCTAGACAAAATGCCTGGGAAAATTGCTCAGATTTTTCACCTTGACTCAGTGACTGGAGAGATATCATTATTAAAAAGTCTAGATTATGAAGAGTCTATGTTCTATGAAATTAAAATTGAAGCCAAAGACGGACCAGGACTCCTTTCAAGAGCCAAGATTCTAGTCACAGTTCTAGATGTGAATGACAATGCCCCAGAAATTACAATCACTTCTCAGACAGGTTCCGTTCCAGAAGAGGCTACCGCTGGAAAAGAAATTGCCCTTATCAACGTGCATGACCGAGATTCTGGATCAAATGGGCATGTCACAGTTTTTGTCCTTGGAAATCTGCCATTTAATTTAGAAAAATCTATAGATCAATATTATCGCTTAGTTACAGCCAGATCCCTGGACCGTGAACAGGTGTCAGAATATAACCTCACTCTGAAAGCCACAGATGGAGGAACTCCGTCACTGTCCACAGAAACGCACATCACCTTGCATGTGACAGATATCAATGACAACCCACCCACCTTTGCTCATGCTTCCTACTCTGCCTACGTTCCTGAAAACAACCCTAGAGGTACCTCCATCTTCTCCTTGACTGCTAAGGATCCCGATAGCGACAACAATGGCCACATTACTTATGCACTGACCGAGGACACCCTACAGGGGGCGCCTCTATCTTCCTACCTCTCCATCAACTCTGACTCTGGCATACTATATGCGTTGCGCTCCTTTGACTTTGAGCAGTTCCGAGAGTTGCAGTTGTGGGTGACCGCCAGCGACAGTGGAGAACCATCACTCAGTAGCAACGTGTCACTGAGCCTGTTCGTGCTGGACCAGAATGACAATGCACCGGAGATTCTGTACCCCACCCTTCCTACCGATGGCTCTACGGGCGTAGAACTGGCGCCCCGCTCTGCAGAACCCGGCTATCTGGTCACTAAGGTGGTGGCAGTGGACAGAGACTCGGGTCAGAACGCCTGGTTGTCCTACCGCCTGCTCAAAGCAAGTGAGCCAGGACTTTTTGCTGTGGGGGTGCACACAGGCGAGGTGCGCACGGTGCGGCCTCTGCAAGACAGAGATTCGCTCAAACAGAGCCTTGTCATAGCTGTTGAAGACCACGGCCAACCTCCTCTCTCGGCCACCGTCACGCTCACCGTGGCCGTGGCTGACAGCATTCCTGATGTCTTGGCCGACCTAGGCAGCTTCGAGCCTTCCCACAACTCTGACGCCTCTGACCTCACGCTGTACTTAGTAGTGGCTGTGGCCTCGGTCTCCTGTGTCTTCCTCGCCTTTGTCATTGTGCTCCTGGCGCTCAGGATGCGTCGCTGGCACAAGTCCCGCCTACTTCAGAAAGACAGCTGCTGTGTGGCCGGCGTGCCCGCCTCACATTTTGTGGGTGTGGATGGCGTGCAAGCTTTTTTGCAGACCTATACCCACGAAGTCTCCCTCACCGCGGGCTCAAGGAAGAGTCATCTGATCTTCCCTCAGCCCAACTATGCAGACACACTCATCAGCCAAGAGAGCTGTGAGAAAAGCGAACCTCTCTTGATATCCCAAGATTTATTCGAAGCAAAAGGAGATCCCAAGCTACTTCAGGTGAGTTTATTTCTTTCTTCGGATAATATAAAGAATAGTTGTACTGATGTGATTATTTTAAAGTTTTAATGTGCATTTATTGGAAAAACAAAGCGCTGCTATCATCATTAGTCTTATGACCTAAATATTTCTCTTCCTTTCTCTTTCTGGGCATATGGTAGTAACTATGACTATGTAGCTAACTAGTTCTGGCTAATAAATTGTGAGCAGGAGTACATGTCACTTCCTGGAGGGAACTCTAATTGCCACTGTGAGAATTTTCAGATTTCAGGGTTACTCTCTGAAATTGTGAATGCGCCTTCTTCTGGGATCCTTGAGTAACTATAATGAGAAGAAGATACCAATAGATGACCCAACATTGATCTGTAAAACTCTTTTCATTTTAAACCTTTGTGAGTGAAGTGAGGTGTGTTACCTTAGCCTAACCTGCCTATCCTGACGGACACAAGTAAAACATATATATGAGATTTGGTTGTTGTTAAGTGCTGTAGAGCCATTTCTGACTCATAGTGACCCTGTATAGGGTTTCCTAGAAGTGCCTGGGGAGCTTGAACTGCTGACCTTTCTGTTCAAATGCAGTCTAGCGCATTAAACCACAGCACCATAGCAGAAGTTAGTCACCCACAAAACTGTGCTTGATTCCTTCCAAGCCAGATCACTCTTCTTATCTTAATGACTTTAAAACATTGGATAAAGAATGTTGTTGTTAAGTCCTGTGGAGTTGGTTCCAACTCATAGTGACCCTGCACAGGGTTTCCAAGGCTGTAAATCTTTACAGGAGTAGAACGCCTCATCTTTCTCCTGCAGAACGGCTGGTAGTTTCGAACTGCTGACCTTGAGGTTGGCAGCCCAACTAGGAACCACTATGCTACCAGAGCTCCTAGATAAAAAATGTAGAGGTTGTTCGAATGAATTTACCTATTATGTAGCTGTATAGCTAAACATGATATATACATATTGATTTCAGTCTTTTGTCTGAAGGTGGAAACTATTTACTTAAACTGTCATGAGCCATAGACTATCATTTCTTGTTATTTGAGAAGGATAAAAATATATAGGAAGATATGTCAGGCTCAGTGGAAGATTTCCAAGCCACATACTTCAATAATGGAATAGGAGTCCTGACTGTGTTCTACAACTTTTCTTGAGTCAGAAATTACTAGCCCATTTTGAAATTCATTAAGTTATTTTCACCCATGTGAGTCAACAGGGTCTAAACAATATCACTTAATTCAGAGAAATGTGTATTCTCTTGTTGTAGTTGTTTGGTGCTATCAAGTCTGTTCCCACCCATGGTGACCCTATGTACAACAGAATGTAACACTGCAGGGTTCTGTGTCATCCTCACAAATTCTCACTTTAGTATATAAATATATCACAGGAAAACAGGCACATAACCTTTGGCATATCTTTATAGGAAAAATCTTTATAACATTAATATCAGTATCCTTATACGGAGTAAAAAGCATTAAATGGTTATTGCAAGGGGGACTTTAGATGCTCAAAGATTTCCTAAGAATCCAATATAAAACAGAGCCTGCATATGCAAAATCAGTGCAATTTCTATTTTTTTGCATAAAAATGAAGCATCTCAGATATCCATGTTCACAAAAAAATGATCTTTTCTGAAGAATAGGCAAAAACTTATTTCTGTAGAAAGGGAAGAAGGATTCATAATAAAATATAAAGGCATGAAGTAAAGAAAACAAGGTATGGGATGTCTTAGGGAAAAGATAAATCATCTGCTGTGATTGGAGTATGAAATAAAATGAACATTGTAAAATAGTGGAGTAAATAGTTGAACTGAGCAATTTTGGAGTGCATTTGAAATAAAGGAATTTGGTTGTTTGGGTTGCCTCACACCAGTTCAAGGATTACAGGTAAGTTCCAAAGTGGAGTGTTTCCAACATTTACCAATAATCAAGTCAAACCCATTTCACTCACTAAGGGCATAAATTGACTGAAACTGAGAATTGGCATTATAGAGATTGCATATACATTCACATATAAAACAAAACAAAACGTTGGTTTCATAGAACTAAATGTGCAGAAACAGGTTTCAATTTATAAAAAAGCTTAAATCGGTCCCTTTAGCAAAATACTAGATGCTGTTGTGCTGTTAAGTATCATTGAGTCAGTTCTGATTTATAGAGACCCTGTATATGGTTTCCAAGGAACAACTGATAGGTTCGAACCACCGACCTTGTGGTTTACAGTCCAGTGCTGACCCTGCGGGGCCATGCCAAGAATCCAAATCTAAATATGCCCTCCTTTAAATATCAGGCTCTCATCTACTTAACTGGGAATGCAGTCTTTTTTTAAAAAATGTTTTTATGAGCAATGTATTAAAATAAGTCTAGGGCTTTCACTCACTCATTTTGCAAAGGTTGTATCTTTGAAAAGTCTTACTGACTTTATATATAGAAAGATTTGAAATAATAAAAAGTGAAGATAACCCAGTGAATTAACAGAAATGTAAAGATTATTTTGTTCAGTAAGAAATGTGGATGAAAAGCCAGTAATTTATTTGAATACACCTAAGGAGTTCTGGTGTGGCGCTGTGGGTTAATGTGTCAGACTGCAAAGCTGTTTGAACTGCAAGGTCGGTAGTTCAAGCTCACCATCTGCTCCTCGGAAACCCTATACAGGGTCTCTATGGGTCAGAACCGACTCGACGGCACTTCACAACAACAACCACAACTCAAGCCATGCTAGTGTTTATAATGCAATGAAGTCACTGAAGGTATTTTTTGAGCCACAAACTCAGGAGAAAATGGCTGTATGCCTTACATAAATTTATAATTTCTTTAAAAAAACATAAAATAATGGAAATGCTTATTAGATGATGATAAACAAGAAACTATCAAATTTTAAATGAAAATTTGAATGTGTTGAGTATATTGCGGGCAAATTGCAGTTTTCCAAGACAACCTCTGGGCGCCGCTGTTGACCAATGGGAAAGAAAAGGGTTCTCAATTCAGCGGGAGTATCAGACTTTCCGGCTTATTCCGGGGCGTATCAGAAAGCGTACCCTTCTCTTGTGCTTCTTCAATCGCCTAATAAGCAAATCCTACCCTTAAATTGCAAACGTCCATAGTGCTGTCATTCATTTTTAAAAATATTCTTGAGGAACCTTGAAAAGAATCTTCCCGGATCGTTCAAGAAATGCAGAGGAACGCCGGACCAGCTGAAAGGAGAAAAAGGCAGGTACTGCTTTCCTTCCTGTTGTCTTTGTTCTGCGGAGCCATTTCCCAGCAGATCCGCTACACTATTCCCGAGGAGATGGCCAAGGGTTCGTTGGTGGGGAATCTCGCTAAGGATCTGGGGCTCAGAATCCAGGAGTTGCCAACTCGAAAACTGAGGGTTAGTGCAGAGGAGGATTGTTTCAATATTAGCGCGGAGAGCGGGAATTTATTAGTTAGCGATAGGATAGATCGAGAGAAGATTTGTGGGAGGAAATCTGAATGTGCACTAGAATTTGAAGCAATCGCTGAGAACCCAATGAATATTTTCCACATAGTTGTTGCAATCCAGGATATTAATGACAACGCACCACGTTTCATTGCAAAGAGTATTGATTTAGAAATCTGTGAATCAGCCTTACCAGGGGTAAAATTCTCTCTGGATTCTGCACAAGATGAAGATGTAGAAAGTAACTCACTGAAGACATACATCCTCAACCCCAATCAACATTTCTCTCTGGCAACTAAAGAAAGCCCTGATGGAAGTAAATACCCAGAACTGCTACTGGAAAAACCTCTAGATAGGGAACAACAGAGCTTCCATCACTTAATCCTGATCGCTAAGGACGGTGGAGACCCAGCCCTAAGCGGCACCACTCAGATCAGGATTCATGTCACAGACGCCAATGACAATGCTCCAGTCTTTAGCCAGGACGTATATAGAGTTAGCCTGAAAGAAAATGTGCCCCTGGGCACCTCCGTGCTTCGAGTGGCAGCCACAGACCAGGATGAGGGCGTTAATGCTGACATCACATATGCCTTTCACAATGCACCTACAATTACCAGCCTTCTCTTCAGACTTAATCCATATACTGGTGACATCACAACCAACGGTACATTGGACTTTGAGAAAACAAGGAGATACATGTTTGGTATAGAAGCCAAGGACGGAGGGGTCCACACGGCTCACTGTAATGTTCAGATCGAAATTGTTGATGAGAATGACAATGCCCCAGAGGTGACGTTCATCTCCTTTTCTAACCGGATCCCTGAGGACTCAGGCCTTGGAACTGTAATAGCCCTCATTAAAGTGCGGGACCAGGATTCTGGGCAAAATGGTCTCGTTGAATGCTATATTCAGAAAGAAGTTCCCTTTAAATTAGAATCCACTTCTAAGAATTATTACAAGCTGGCGATTGACAGAGCCCTGGACCGGGAACAAACAGCAGAGTATAATGTCACCATCACAGCCACAGACAAGGGCAAGCCACCCCTTTCCTCCAGCACAAGTATCGCCCTGCACATCGCTGATGTCAACGACAACGCTCCAGCTTTCCATCAGGCCTCCTACCTGGTCCACGTGGCTGAAAACAACCCACCGGGAGTCTCCATCGCGCAGGTCAGCGCCTCTGACCCTGATCTGGGACCCAATGGCCGTGTCTACTACTCCATCGTGGCCAGTGATCTCGAACCCGGAACGTTGTCGTCCTACTTGTCTGTGAGCGCGCAGAGTGGGGTGGTGTTCGCGCAGCGCGCCTTTGACCACGAACAGCTACGCGCCTTCGAGTTGACACTGCAAGCGCGTGACCAGGGCTCGCCCGCGCTCAGCGCCAACGTGAGCCTGCGCGTACTGGTGGGCGATCGCAACGACAACGCGCCCAGGGTGCTGTATCCGGCGCTGGGACCCGATGGCTCAGCGCTCTTTGACACGGTGCCTCGTGCAGCGCAGCCCGGGTACCTAGTAACCAAAGTAGTGGCGGTGGATGCGGACTCGGGGCACAACGCCTGGCTGTCCTACCACGTGCTGCAAGCCAGCGATCCCGGGCTCTTCAGCGTGGGTCTCCGCACAGGCGAGGTGCACACCGCGCGTGCTTTGGGTGACAGGGACCCGATCCGACAGCGCCTGCTAGTCGCTGTGCGCGATGGAGGACAGCCACCCCTTTCAGCCACAACCACTCTGCACCTAGTCTTCGCAGACAGCCTGCAGGAGGCGCTGCCAGACCTCAGCGATCGCCCCGCACCCTCTGATCCCCAGGCCGAGCTGCAGTTCTATCTGGTCTTGGCGTTGGCCTTGATCTCGGTGCTCTTCTTCCTGACGGTGATTCTGGCCATTGCCCTGCGCTTGCGACGCTCCTCCAGCTCCGGCGTCGGGGGCTGCTTTCAGTCTGGGCTCTGCTCCAAGTCTGGACCTGGTGTTCTCCCCAACTACAGAGAGGGAACATTGCCCTATTCCTACAATCTATACGTTGCCTCACAATCAGCTAAAGCAGAATTTAATTTTCTCAACGTGACCCCAGAAATGGCTCCCTCTCAGGATCTCTTGTGTAATGATCCTTCTGCGGTTGTTTGTGCCAGTAATGAAGAACCCAAAATCACTTATGACCCTTCTTTTTCCTCTCACGTGAGTTTCCGCAAGCCTATTTAAATTTTATGTATTGAATTTGCTCCTCAACTGTAGATAATTGCTTTTAGTAGTTGTTCACTGTTCCGTATGGTATCTGGTGAGAAGTATATATTGGATTGGTTCCTTGTATTGATTGCTCAGTAGTCTTGGCAGTTACCTAATTACTACTTCTCAGTACTATTGGCAGTTCTGTATTTTCAAGGTAGAGAGAGCTCTCTCCTGGATGACACCAATTTTAATAATAAACAGTGTAGTTTCTTAATTGATTAATTTTTTTAAAGGCCCTGGTGTTGCAATGCTTAAGTACTTAGCTACTAACTGAAAGGTTGGCAGTCCAATCTCCCAGAGAAAGATCTCTTTCTCTGTGGGGCATTTCTACTATGTCCTATACAACCACTATGAGTTGGAATCAACTTGATATCAAAGAGTTTTTCTGTGTGTTTTTTTTCTTAATTGATGTGTACCTGGTATGAATAAGCACTTGATGACAAAGTCGGTTTGAATGGCAAGGTTGGTTTGAGCTTCAAGGTTGAGATTTCAGACTTGCCAGCTGCTCCTTGGAAACCCTATATAGGGTCACTATAAATCAGACCTGACTCAATGGCACTTAACAACAATAAAATTACTTTTCAAGTCATGCTATGCTTTACTCTTCATAATATATTGACAGTTCTTTCTGCCCATGTTAAAACTATTATTGTCTTTATTGATTACATTCTAATTGTTTCTTCTTTAGCTGCTATGTGTATACTTAACACAACATTCAAATAATGAAGTCTTTCAATATTTTTTTTGCCTTATTACAAATAAAAAAGACTGCCAAATTTTAGATTAGAATGACTAGCTTTGGGCCAATTTCATTCCCACTTCGAAATCTTACTCAAAGAAATTCCACAATTTTCTTAATCATTCTTTAATCACTGGTTTTTATGTTCTTTCTATTTTATTGTTATTATGAGGGATGTAATGAGATTTTTTATATAAAACCTTTTCCATATTACTGTTTCTTTATTATAGGTTTCTGCAAAAAGTCAGTGGTTCTAACTCACCAGCCATTCCTCAGAAACCCTGTAGAGGGTTGCTAAGAGTTAGAAGCAATTCAACAGCATTTACCAGCAACAATGGACTTTTTGTGTTCGATTAAAATTCGTGGACTATTTTTATGCTAATGATTATGTGAGGAGTAATGTAAGACCTGGCTAGTGTTTTATCTCAAGTTTTCATGGAGTAGCAAATTATTCTAAGTACTCATATACCTAAATAAGAAAACTATGAAACATGCAACAAAGATCCATTTGTTGTTGTTAATTACCATTAAGTCAGCTCTAGCTCATGGTGATCCCATTTAAAACAGAATGACACATTTCTAGGTCCTGAGTCATCTTTATGAACATTGTTGGTGTTAGGTGCCATCAAATCGGTTCCAACTCATCATGACCCTATGCACAACAGAGCTAACCCTGCCTGGTCCTGCACCATTCTTACAATTGTTGTTATGTTTGAATCCATTGTTGCTGATACTGTGTCAATCCATCTTGTTAGGAGTCTTCCTCTTTTTTGCCAACTTTCCCTTTTTCCAAGCATGATGTCCTCCAGGGACTGGTCCTTCCTGATAATATATCCAAAGTGAGAGAGTCTCACCATCCTTGCTTCTAAGAAGTATTTTTTTGTTCTTCCATGACACTTGGAATATTCTTCACCAACACCATAATTCAAATGCATCGATTCTTCTAGGTCTTCCTTATTCATTGTCCAACTTTCACATGCATATAAGATCATTGAAAATAGCATGACAATTAGTATGCTTAAATCCATTGTTGTGGTCACTGTGTACTTTGAATGCCTTCCAACAGAAGAATCACATCTTCCAACACAATATCACAGGATATTCTAATATGATGCATAGAGTTTTCATGGGTTCATTTTTGGAAGTAGATTTTCAGGCCCCTCTTCCTAGTTTATCTTAGTCTGAAACCTGTTCACCATGGGTAACCCTTTGGTATTTGAGATATCAGTGGAATAGCTTTCAGCATCACAACAACATGAAGTCACCACAGTATGAAAAACTGTTGGATGGAAAGACTCATACATTTACCAAATTATTTCCTTCTAGTCACTATTTCTAAAATCAAAGCTAAAATGAACATAGAAATAATGGTAAAATAATATCTTCTGGATTAAAAAAAATCACAAATCACTGATTTTAATAGTACTTTAGTCTAACTTTTTTTGTCTTCTCATTTTTACTATGTATTTTTATGTTCAGACTATATGTACTTACTCATTGTTTAAGGTTTGTAATTGCATTAATACTCATTCAATAAACATTGGAAACTATTTTTGAATGCCTACTCTATGAAAGGTACTATTCTAGAGATTGAGAATATAGCTGTGAATTTATGAACAGACATAGTTTATGAGTGAATCTTCTGTATAAGAAATTAATAAACAAAATTCTCTTCCCAGACCTATAATCGTATTTTCCAAGCTCATCTGTACAGGAGTAAGACAAATTCTTGAGCAATAAAAATTGGGTGGGGGGGGGAGCACTGAAATGTTTCTCCAGGTTATAAAATTTCAACTCATTGGAGGACATTTCAAACTCTGCATAGTTTGAAACTAGAACCCAGAGCTCCAAGCTCCTTGGACATTTACTGTCTGTTCACTTAACCACTTTTCTCCATTTTTTAAGTTCATCCTTATACCTAGGAAGAATATACACTCATCCCTCTACACTAGTCACAGGACACTAATGAAAATGGGCTATGGGAACAAATAATGCAAAATCCAAAAAGAACAGAAAGAGAGGCTTAGCTTTAAAAATCATCATATTGGTTTCTCCAAGAAAATAAATAATTTTACAGTAGAGAGCTTATTGTGCAGGAAGCTTTAGATAATTCTCAGAGTCTCATTGCAAATCAAACAACAGGAGCTTGACTTGTATTCTTCTAGGAGAAATAGGTTTAAGAATGGAAGTGACTATAAAAGAGATGCTTCGATTTACTAAGAACGGGTTGCAGTAACAGATTAGGACTCATAGTGTCGCTGTTCACCAATCAGGAGAAAACAAGACAACCAGAAATTTAATCCAAACATAAGATTTCTACAGCACAAAGCACTGATTCTGGTGCTTTACAAAGCTACCATCTGGACTCCGGAGAGCTCCAACATCCAACAGTGAAAGAGCATTATCTTGGATCCCGAAGATCCTGGGACTCCTGCCTCCACAGAAGGAAAACGGAAGCGCATTCTATTCCGCAGCGGGGCTGTAATGGCGGCTCCTTATCGCCCAGACTGTTGCCGGCTGGTCGGGATCTGTGTCTTTCTGGGGGCTCTGTGGGAAATCCGGGCAGTGCAAATTCGCTACTCCGTGCCTGAGGAGCTGGACAAAGGTTCTTTCGTGGGTAACATTGCCAAGGATCTGGAAATGGAGCCCCGGGAGCTGGCAGAGCGCGGAGTCCGCATTGTCTCCAGAGGTAGGACCCAGTTTTTTTCTTTGAACCCTAGAAGCGGTATCTTGGTCACAGCGGGCAGGATAGACCGGGAGGAGCTCTGTGACAGATCTCCAAAGTGTGCGGTAAACCTGGAGATTCTTCTCGAGGACCAAGTGAAGATTTTGGGAGTAGAAGTGGAAATAATCGATGTTAATGATAATTCGCCCAGCTTTGGGACAGAGGAAAGAGAAATAAAAGTCGCTGAAAGTGAAAATCCTGGGACAAGATTTCCTCTTCCTGAAGCTTTTGATCCAGATGTAGGGGTAAACTCCCTTCAGGGTTATGAGCTAAGCCCAAATGGTCACTTCTCTCTGGACCTGCAAATTGGAGCCGATGGGATTAAATATCCGGAGCTGGTACTGGAGCGCACCTTGGATCGCGAGGAAGAGGCGGTGCACCACCTCGTGCTCACTGCTTCAGATGGGGGCAGCCCGGTTCGCACTGGCACTGCCAGGATTCATGTAAAACTTATAGACACCAACGACAATGCTCCCGTATTCACGCAACCCGAATACCATGTGAATGTTCGAGAGAATGTACCAGTGGGCACCCGGCTACTCACTGTAAAAGCCACTGATCCAGATGAAGGAGCCAATGGAGAAGTAACATATTCTTTTCGGAAAGGGAGAGAGAAAATATCCCAACTCTTCCAGTTGAACTCTCTGACTGGGGACATAGCAATATTGGGGAATCTAGATTACGAGGAGTCTGGATTCTATGACATAGATATAGAAGCCCATGATGGACCTGGTCTTCGAGCCAGAAGTAAGGCCCTAGTGACAGTTCTGGATGTAAATGACAATGCTCCGGAAGTCACCATTACATCACTCACTAACTCAATCCAAGAAACTTCATCCCCAGGCACTGTTATTGCACTTTTCAACGTGCATGATGGGGACTCAGGAGAGAATGGCCTTGTAACATGTTCAATTCCAGATAATCTGCCATTCGTACTTGAAAAGACCTATGGAAATTATTATCGGTTGTTGACACATAGAACTCTGGATAGGGAAGAAGTCTCCGAATATAACATCACGATAACTGCTACTGACCAGGGAACTCCATCACTGTCTACAGAAACTCTTATCTCACTGCAGGTGGCAGACATCAATGACAATCCACCCACCTTCACTCATGCTTCCTATTCTGCCTACATTCCTGAAAACAATCCCAGAGGTGTTTCCTTCTTCACCTTGACTGCCCAGGACCCCGATAGTGGTGAGAATGCCAGAGTCACTTACTCTCTGATGGAGGACACTCTCCACGGAACGCCTTTGTCTTCCTATATCTCTATCAACTCTGACACTGGGGTCCTGTATGCCCTGCGCTCTTTCGACTATGAGCAGTTTCAGAACTTAAAGCTACAAGTGACTGCCAGTGACAGTGGGGACCCGCTGCTCAGCAGCAACGTATCATTGAGCCTGTTTGTGCTGGACCAGAATGACAATGCACCGGAGATCCTGTATCCGGCTCTTCCTACAGACGATTCTACTGGATTGGAGTTGGCTCCCCGCTCTGCAGAGCCTGGCTACTTAGTGACCAAGGTGGTGGCTGTGGACCGCGACTCTGGACAGAACGCCTGGCTGTCCTATCGCCTGCTCAAGGCCAGCGAACCAGGGCTCTTCGCGGTGGGGGTGCACACGGGTGAGGTACGCACTGCGCGGGCCATAATGGATAGAGATGCCCTCAGGCAGAGCCTTGTGGTGGCAGTCCAGGACCATGGCCAGCCCACTCTATCAGCCACCGCCACGCTAATGGTGGCCATCGCGGATAGCATTCCTGAAGTCCTAGCCGACCTAGACAGCAGTAAGACACCTGCTGACCCAGATGATTCAGGCCTCACTCTGTACCTGGTGGTGTCTGTAGCAGCTGTCTCCTGCCTTTTCCTCACCTTCATCATCGTGCTGTTGGCGCTCAGGCTTCGGCGCTGGTATAAGTCGCGTCTGCTCCAGGCTTCAGGAGGGATGGTGGGTGTGTCCGCTTCGCACTTTGTGGGCGTGGATGGAGTGAGGGCCTTCCTGCAGACCTATTCCCACGAGGTCTCCCTCACTGCGGATTCTCGGAAGAGTCACCTGATCTTCCCCCAGCCTAACTATGCAGATACGCTCATTAGCGCAGAAAGCTGTGAGAAAAGCGAGCCTCTTCTGATGCCTCAGGATTTGCTTGACACAAAAGGAGAGCCCAGCCAGGTGAGTTGATCTGATGCTTAAACACAGTCACAACGCTGTGATAAATATGCCTCCAGTGTATAAGATACCGGCGAGTTACTTGGCGTGAGAAAGATGAGACTATCTGATCATTTAAAGATTCAGTCTCCAAAACCCTATATAGGAATCGAATCAATGGCTATGGGTTTGTTTTTGATATACCAAATAAAGTCACCTCTGTTTTTAAAATATTCTATTGTCTTACAGGGGAAGGGAAGAGACCCTATAATAATCAATAATAACAATTATTATTACACAAAGAAGTTATTGTTTCATACTTATTCTTTGTGACCATCATTTAGTGATAGTTTCAATAGCAATTTCTTAATTTTACCCCCCTAAACCACCTCACTCTTTAAATATCATTTTCCTTTGGTCACTACAAAAGTTATAGGTTATAACTGTTAGAAGACAACTGTGTCAATATTTACATCATCCTTTCTTATGAATTATTCTTGCTTATGAACTGAGTATTTTAACACTCAAATAACATGCTCTGCTTGAAATTTACTTTTCTTTCCTTTACAGGATACCTTCTATTATAATTACACAGCAGTAATTCGTGAATGGTGCAGAAATATTTAACTTTTAGGTAAATTGTAACTGATGTAGTTTATCAATTAGACTGGTATATTTCAAATATTTTGTTGTTGCTATTTGTAAGGTGCACCAGCAATAACCGTGGGTGGTTCCTTTGGCACACTTCTGTGGTTACCAGAAATATTGCTTATTTTATTTCACTCATATTTAAGTAGGTTGTAGGAGTGATTTTGATATCTAAATTACCTATTATAGAACCACTGTTGAGACCCTTCTTGATTTCTAAGGAAAACAAAGCTTTCAAAACCCTTTTTCCCTTGTGATAGCCTCTTCAAAATATTGGGTAACTTGGATTCTATACTGAAGTGATTCATCCCTGTCCCTGTAAATTGCTCTTTCATTGTGTGTCATTGATATGATCTGAAATAGGAAGAAATATTTATGTGCAAGTGATCTGCAATACTTTTGTCTCTTGTAGCTTCATTTTGTCCTGTGAGTTATTATTGTTGTTAAGTGCCATCGAGTTGGTTCCAACTCATAGTGGCCCTGTATTGGGTTTCCTGGGAGCAGCTGCTGTGTTTGAATCACCGACTTTGTGGTTAGTAGTTCATTGCTTATCTTATAACGCCACACCAGAATTCATAAATACACCAATTAGTAACTTATTATCTAATGTCACATGGGAAATATGTTTTGTTAAAACAGAAACTGGGTTTCTTTTAGAAAATAATATTCTGGATAAACAAATTATCACATGGCATATAATGGACTACTTACTACATTGCTGACCCACCACTCGTCTGTCAGTGTGTTACAGGGGAGGAACAGAATGCCCTCAATAATCAATAATAACAACTATTACTATGCCAAAAGTTACTTATATAGTAAGTATTCTTTGTAATCATCATTTAGTGTTACTTTCATCAGCAATTTTTTAATCTTATACCTGTAAACCACTGCACTCTTTAAATATCATTTTCCTTTGGCCACTACAAAAGTTATAGGTTATAACTGTTAGAAGGTGGCTTGTGTGATACTAGAGATCACATGATAGAATGTTGCAAAACAAATAACTTATTCATTGCAAATACCTTTTTAAAAACAATATAAAAGGTGACTATATGCCTGGACATCCCCAGACGGAATACACAGGAATCAAAATGGAACAGACAATCATTGTTCATATGTAAGTTCAGACTGAAGCTGAAGAAAATTAAAACAACTCCACAAGAGCCAAAATATGACCTTGAGAATCCTACATGAATTTAGAAACCATGTCATGAATAAATTTGATGCACTAGACACTAATGACAGTGTTGGGGGTGACATCCAGAATGTGATACAGGAAAAAAAACCAGAAGGTCATTTAAAAGACAGGATAAAAAGATAGTAACAAGTGGATATCAGAGCATTCTAAAACTTGTTCTTGACCATAGAGAAGCAAAAATGACCTGAAGTAATTACGATGTAAAAGAACTGAAAAGAAAATTTCAAAGGGCAGCTGAAGAAGACAAAGTCAAATATTATAATGAAATGTGCAAAGGCCTGGAGTTAGAAAACAAAAAGGGAAGAATATGCTCAGCATTTTTCAAGCTGAAAAAAAAAACTGAAGAAAAACTTCAAGCCTTGACTTGCAATGTTAAAGGATTCTATGGACAAAATATTGAATGACGCCAGAAACATCAAAAGAAGGTGGAAGGAATACAGTCACTATACCAAATAGAATTGGGTGATGTTCAGTCATTTCAAGAGTTACTATAGGATCAACAGTCAATGGTATTTAAGGAAGAAGTCCAAGCTGTACTGAAGGCATTGATGAAAAACAAGGCTCCAAGAAATGACAGGATACAAAATTGAATGCTTCAACAAACGGTTGCAGCACTGGAGGTGCTCACTCATCTATGCCAAGAAATTTGGCCAACCAGTTGAAAGAGATCCATACTTGTGCCCATTAAAAAAAAAAAAAAAAAAGGTGACCCAATGGAATGTAGAGATCTTAGGACAACATCATTAGTATTATATGCAAGTAATGTTTTGCTGAAGACAATTCAAAACTAATTGCAGCAGTACATGAACAGAGAGCTGCCAGAAATTCAAGCCAGATTCAGATGAGGATGTGGAACAAGGGATATCATTATTGACTTCAAATGAAGCGTGACTGATAGCAGGGAATACCAGAAAGACATTTACTTGTGCTTTATTGACTATGCAAAGGCTTTTGACTGTGAGGATCATAAGAAACTATAGATAATATTGTGAAGAATGGGTATACCAGAACACTTCATTTTGCTCATGAGGAACCTGTACATAGACCAAGAGACAATTATTAGAATGGAACAAGGGGCTACTGTTGTTGTTAAGTGCCATGGAGTTGACTCATAGCAACCCTGCATAGGGTTTCCAAGCAGCAGCTGGTGAGCTTGAATCGGTTCAAACTGACTTTACAGTCTACAATCAGGAGAGGTATTTTTTCACCATACTTATTGAATCTATATGCTAAGCAAATCATTAATAAACTGAATAATATGAAGAAGATTGTGGCATCAGGATTGAAGAAAGACTCATTAATAATCTGTGATATGCAGATGATATACCCTTGTTTGTTGAAAGCCAATAGGACACAGGACTTGAAATATTTGCTGATGAAGATCAGTATGGATTGCACCTCAATCTAAAGACAATTAAAATCCTCATAACTGAATCAATAAATAACGTCATGATAAATGAAGAAAAGATTGAAGTTGCTTGGATCCACAATCAATGCTCATGGAAGCAGCAGTCACGAAATCAGTGGACATCTTGCATTAGGCAAATCTGTTGCAAAAGACCTTTTTAAAAATATTAAAGAAACCCGGGTGGAGATCTTGTTGGCCAGCAGTGTGGCAAGACCTGGGAACTCTTGGGCCCAGAGTCAGTGACATAGCCACAGAGGACTAGAGTGGAGAGTGAAGCATCCAGCTGATAAGACGAGAGGGCATATGCATATGAACACCCAAACTTGCAGATAATACCCACTTGACCTGGCTTCAATGACTAGACGATCAGAGCTCAGCTAGAAAAAGAAAGAAAAGGAAAAAAAGAGTAATCTGATACAATTTGATGAACTTGACCTATACCTATGGATGCTCAAAAGAGGGAACAATCTTTACAGCGAGGATCATTCCCACCCCCTCCATACAGAGTAGACTGGGATGGGCAACTTGGATATTGGCTACCCAAAATGGGGGAGGGGAGCTACAAAGCCAAGAAGTGACTGGCTTATAAGTTTTCAAGAGGGAACCTAGATCCAGAGGGCGTGGAGGAAGGTGGACTGTTCACTGAGTAAGTAGTATCCAATCTGTCTAGGAGGGGCTGATGAAAGGAAATGCAGATAGGTCTCTTGTGATACAATAGTGAATAATTGTTATCAAGACTGACTGTGAGGGTTGGAAATGTAAAGGTAGACGTTGTGTAGCAAAAGAAGGGAAGTGATTAACTTTCCAGTCTAGGAGCGGAGGTCCCTGGGACCATCAAGGGAGAAGAGCGGAGAGTGGGACCCTACTCAGAGAACCAGTGACACCAAAGATGGAGGCAGAAATGATGATGTGGAGAGATGAAGTGGCTGGGGACTTTAGACCCAAAGAGGGAGAGGGGCTTGCAGGGTATATACCCTTTGGTTGGTTGATGATGCATCGAGGGGATTGTAACCATGGCAATGAAATGATATATAATAGAATGAATGTAAAGCTAATGTGCTCCATGTAAACTATCACATAATTCACAATAAAACATAAAAAAAAAAAAGAAACTCACTTTGAAAAAAAATGTTAAAGAGCAAAGCTCTCAGTTTGAAAACTAAGGTGGCCAGACCCAAGCCATGATACTTTCAGTTGTCTCATATGCATGTGAAATTTGGACAATGAATAAGGATGACAGTAGAAACTTTGATGCATTTGAATTATGATGTTGGTGAAGAATATTCAAAGCACCATGGACTGCCAGAAAAACAAACAAATCTATCTTGAAAGAAGTATAACCAGTATGTATGTTAGAAGTGAGTATGGTGAAACTTCAAGTCTCATACTTTGAACATGTTGTCAGGAGGGACCAGTCCCTGGAGAAGGACATCCTGCTTGGAAAAGTGAAGGGTCAGCAAAAAGAGGAAGACCCCAAAATGATGGATTGATACAGTAGCAGCGTCAATGCCCTCAAACATAATCATTGTGAGGAGGATGTAATACCAGATAGTGTTTAATTCTGTTGTATGAGTCAGAACCAACTCTACAGCACCTAACAACAACAACATTGCTGATGTCAGGTGGATCTTGCTGAAAGCAGAAAATAACAGAAATATGTTTTTCTGTGTTTTATGACTGGCAAAGGCATTTGACTGTATCAGGACCATGACATATTGTGGATAACATTGTGAAGAATGAGAGTTCCAGAATGCTTAATTGTGCTCATATAGAAACATACATAGATGAACAGGCAGTGGTTCAAACAGCTGATCAAGGGGATGTTGTTATTAAGTGCCGTGGAGTCAATTCTGACTCATAGAGGCTCTATATAGAGTTTCCAAGTAGTAGCTGGTGTGTTTGAACCACCAATCTTATAGTTAGCAGTCCAATGCTTACCCTACAGTGCCACACCAGGACTCCTCATGGTTAAAATCAGGGAAAGTGTGTGTCAACATTATATCCTTTCACCATACTAATTCAATCTGTATGCTAAGCAGATAATCCAAGGTGGGCTGTATGAAGAAGAAATTGGCATCAGGATTGGAAGAAGATGGTAACTGTAACATGCAGATGACACAACTTTGCACGCTGAAAGTGAAGAGGACTTGAAGCTTTTACTGATGAAAATCGAAGAATACACAGCCTTCAGTATGGATTTACACCTCAACACAAAGAAAATTTAAATCCTCACCATGCCCAATACATATGATAAGTGGAAAAAATTTGAAGTTATCAGGGATTTCATTTTACTTAGGACCACAATCAGTGCCCACGGTAACAGCAGTGATGAAATTGAATTACATAATGCATTGGGCAAATCTGTTGCAAAAGTGGTCTTTAAGGGTGTTAAAAAGCAACATTGTCATTTTGAGGACTAAGGCCCTACCTAGGTCAAGATGTGGTAATTTTAATCACTTCATATGCATGGATGGAGAGAGTCGTGGCTCTGGGGGATAAGCACTAGACTGTGAAGTACAAGATCAGTGATTCAAGTCCACTGATCACTCTGTGGGAGAAAGATGAGGCTTCTTGCTTCCTCAAAGACTCATGGCCTCAGAAACCCTATACAAGGTTGCGATGAGTTGGAAACCACACAGTGGCACTTAACAACAGCAGCAACATATATATAGTAATGCTAGACAATAAATAAAGAAGACCTAAGAAGAACTGATGCATGTGAATTGTGGTGGTAGTGAAGAATGTTGGCTGTACCATGGACTGCCAGAAGAACAAGCAAATCAATCTTGAAAGAAGTACAACAATGTTCCTTAACAGCAAGGATGGCGAAACTTCATCTCAGATACTTTGGACATGTTTATTAGAAAGGTCCTTGGTAGAGAGGGTCTGGGAAAAAGGAAGACCCTCAACTATATGGACTCACACCATGGCAGCAACAAGTGTAAGCACAGGAATTATTGTAGGGATGGTGCAGGATGAGACAGTGCTTTGTTCTGTTGTACACAGGGTCACTCAGAGTCAGAACAAAATCTGCAACACCTAACAAACAACATAGCTATAAGAAATAAATGAGAAATCTCTTTATGTAATGTTATGAGATGGTCTTTACGCTATCATAAGTTTTAAAAACAAACATGGTGCAGGACATCATATATTGTATGCTTCCATTTATGCAAAAGAAATGAGGGGGGAACATTCATAAAAATGTGTTGCACTATGTGTAACATATTTCTGGTAGGACCCCCAAGAAAGATAACAATGGTTTCTCCTGTGAAAGATGTGCTGTTGAAGGAGAGATGTGCATTTTAAATTTGAAAAGATGTGAATGTGGTGTTAACTATTTACAACAAGTAGGGAACCGACTCCACGGCACATAACAACAACAAACAACAAATACTCTATAAGTAATTTTTAAAAAATGTTCTTTGCAAACCACCGGTGTAGTTTCCTGGGGAAACCTCTGGGCGTCGCTGAAGGTCAAAGGAAGAGAAAGAAGAAATGGGAGACACATTGAAAATCTCTTAAAGGGTAATTTCCTGTTCAACAGCACCACACGAAGAAGTTTGGTTCCGATTCAAATACAGAAAAACAAAACAGAAGAAGTGACCTTACCCTGAATTCTGCCATCCACGGAAGGCTCTCTTTCTGGCAGGAAGCAGCTCCGCTGCGAAGGAGACAAAAGGATGAGACAGAGGTCTGGGCGGAACTACTCAGCAGGGTGGCGGCAGGTACTAGTGCCTTTCTTACTGTCTTTGTTCCGCGGGGCTCTATCTGACCAGATCCACTATTCAATTTCAGAGGAACTGGCCAAGAACACAGTGGTGGGAAACCTCGCCAAGGACCTGGGATTCCGTGTCCGGGATTTACCGGTCCGGAAGCTGCGGATTAGTGGTGAGAAGGAATATTTTACTGTAAACCCAGAGAATGGCGATTTACTTGTGAGTGACAGAATAGACCGAGAACAGATTTGTGGGAAGAAGCCTCAGTGTGTTCTGGATTTTGATGCTATAGCTGAAAATCCACTAAATATTTTCCATGTAACAGTAATTGTGAAGGATATAAATGACAACATTCCACTTTTTAAACAGAGTACTACGGATTTAAAAATTGTAGAATCCACTCAGCCAGGGACAACATTTCCACTAGACCCAGCTCTGGACTCAGATGCTGGTCCTTATTCACTGCAAAGATACCACCTTAATGATAATGAATACTTTGATCTCTCAGAGAAACAGAAACCAGATGGACGCAAATATCCTGAGTTGATTCTGAGACATTCTCTGGACAGAGAAGAGCAGAATTTCCATCATTTGGTCCTCACAGCGGTGGATGGTGGGGACCCACCTCAAAGTGGCACCACCCAGATCCGCATTCAGGTCACTGACGCCAATGATAACCCTCCTGTATTCAGCCAAAACACATACAGGGTCCGTCTGCGGGAGGACATGCCCCCTGGCACCTCGGTTTTACGAGTGGCAGCCACCGATAAGGATGAGGACGTCAATGCGGAAATTACCTACTCCTTTCATAATGTGGACGAACAGGTGGCACACTTTTTCAGCTTAAATGAAAGAACAGGAGAAATCACAACAAAAGATTATTTGGATTTTGAAGTTGCCCATACTTACACTCTGAGTATAGAAGCAAAAGATTCTGGCGATCTAGCTGCCCATTGCAGTGTCCAAGTAGATATTCTTGATGAGAACGATAGTGCACCTGAAGTGATCGTGACTTCTGTATTTACCCCTCTACCAGAAGACTCCCCTAGAGGAACAGTGATCGCCTTGATCAAAACGAGAGACAGAGACTCTGGAGAAAATGGAGAAGTTTACTGCCGCGTCTTTGGAAATAACGAGTTTAAATTGAAATCTTCTTCGAATAACTATTACAAGTTAGTGACAGATGGCACCTTGGACCGCGAGCAAATCCCAGAGTACAACATCACCATCATGGCCACCGACAGAGGCAAGCCGCCCCTCTCCTCTAGCACAAGCCTCACAGTGCACATTGGGGATGTAAATGACAACACTCCGGCTTTCCACCAGTCCACCTATTTGGTCCACGTGGCTGAGAATAACCAACCAGGCTCCTCCATCGCGCAGGTCAGAGCCTCAGATCTGGACTTGGGGTCCAGCGGCCAAGTATCTTACTCCATCGTGGCCAGCGACCTGGAACCCCAAGCGCTGTCCTCCTACGTGTCTGTGAACGCTCAGAGCGGGGTGGTGTTCGCGCAGCGAGCCTTCGACCACGAGCAGCTGCGTGCCTTCAAGCTGACGCTGCAGGCGTGTGACCAGGGCTCACCAGCGCTTTGCGCCAACGTGAGCCTGCGAGTGCTAGTAGGCGATCGTAATGATAACGCGCCCAGAGTACTGTACCCGGCGCTGGAGCCTGAAGGCTCGGCGCTCTTCGACACTGTGCCTCGCGCAGCGCAGCCAGGTTATCTGGTAACCAAGGTGGTGGCAGTGGATGCAGACTCGGGACACAACGCCTGGCTGTCCTTCCACGTGCTACAAGCCAGCGAGCCCGGGCTTTTCAGTCTGGGACTGCGCACCGGGGAGGTGCGCACGGCACGTGCCTTGGGCGACAGAGACGCCTCTCGTCAGCGCCTGCTGGTCGCTGTGCGTGATGGAGGACAGCCACCCCTCTCCGCCACAGCTACACTGCTCCTAGTCTTCGCTGACAGTCTGCAAGAGGCGCTGCCAGACCTCAGCGACCGCCCCATGGCCTCTGACTCCCAGGCGGAACTGCAGTTTTACTTAGTAGTAGCTTTGGCTTTGATTTCGGTACTCTTTCTCCTCGCAGTGACCTTGGCCATTGCGCTGCGCCTGCGTCGTGCCTCCAGACCCACCACTTGGGGCTGTATTCAACCAGGTGTCAGCTCCAATTCTGGACCTGGGGTTCTTCCCAACTGCAGTGAGGGTACACTGCCCTATTCCTACAATCTGTGTATTGCCTCACAATCTGCTAAGACAGAATTCAATTTTTTCGGCATGACTCCGGAATTGGCTCCCACTCAGGATCTCCTCAGTGATGATACGTCTTGGGTACCTAACACAAATCGTGAGGACACTGAGATACCATTTGCTTCAGATACTATTTTAGAGGTGAGCGCTACTTTTTAAAATTACTATCACTTTGGGTTTCGATGTTTCTTATATCACCTAACAAGGGTTCTGGCTCATATTTTGTTATCCGATTAGGGCAGTTTTCTGCCATACCATCGTAATCTTGTTTAATCAAGTCTTGTTGTTAAGTGCCGTGGAGTTGGTTCCGACTCATATCGACCCTGTACAGTGTTTCCGAGACTGTGAATCTTTATGGGAGCATCTCCCGCGGAGCTGGTAGTTTCGAACTGATGACCTTGCAGTTCATAGCCTGATTCATAACCACTACGCTACCAGAGCTACAAGTCTTAGATGAGGTTTACTTTCTGAGTTGTCAGATTTGTTTGCCCATAATTACAAGTGTTTACCACATGAGATCATTCTTTTTCTTCCTCTTCTTTATATTACATTGTTTCCCTCTGAAGATTTATTACTATTGGAACCGTGAGTAATTGCTTTTTCCTTTAGGGTTTTTATTAACTCAAATTTAAAATTTCCTCTTACTAGTATGGAGAGTCCCTTATTGTTAGTGTGGGGGAAACTAGGAACCAAAAACAGTAAGCGTTGTACCCAGTACCAACATGTCAACCACAGGGCATCGATAGAACTGGTTTCTACTGACTTGGAGACCAGCACCTACCTGTCTTTATAATCTAAGTGTCTATGTACAATATAAATATAAAAGACGTAGGGAAAGCTTGAAGTCTGAAGTATCTGCTATTGAAGGTCACGTGTAATTCATGTGAGAAAGAATTTTCTCGTACATGCTAATGAATTGCTCTTTAAAAATGTTGTATAAATGAGAATATTTTTGCAAACTACACTGACATTGAGTACTTATTTCTTTGGAAATCTACAATTACAAATATTAACTTCTTTTCCTCATTTTTCTCTGATATTGTCATTAACTAAAAATTGCTTCTCTCACTTGATGGGCTCTCTGAAATACCCATTTTTTTTTTATCATGGGATTTTTCTTTTTCTGCTACCATATCAAACCTGTGTCAACATAGAGAGCCACTCACTGGGTGTTCGCTAGTAAGTGTCTGGGTAAGTTTTCCTGCATTTGTGACAAACTAAAGTCCGTTCCTCTATAATCACTATACCGATTTCCACTAAGAGTCTATTGTAAAACATTTAACTGTAAGTGTTTGAACAAAGTAATAAGAACATATAACATGATGCATAGAGAACCTAACTTAAACTCTCAATCTGATGTGGTGCAGTTCATGTCTTGATTTTGAAAATATGGAAACTTTCTCAAAGAACTTACATGTAACAAAATGGCCTTTTTGCTTTTCTTGCATGTGAAAGCTAATACAATATTTATATAAGCCAGTCAAATGTGCATTGAGAACTAGGTTTGTTTCCTTGCCATTGTTGTGTGCAGTTGACATGCTTTCATAAATATGCCCAATAGAAAGATGAAATATAGAGACCTACAAAAGAGAGAAATGCAGTGTCCTAAATAGTTAATAAAATAAGCTCTTTAACATACTCAATGTAGGTGAGTGGTAAATAAAGGACACATGAAATAAAACTTTTCTAAGCAAGTAAAAAAGAATCTAATAATTACATTAATCTAAAGGACTTGTGGAAGTCTTTCTCTATTTCACAATTAAAACTTAATCAGATGTCATTAACAATGTCAAAGACACTACATTAAGAAAACAGCAAATTTTATTGGAAATAAAAATACAAGCAAAGTGATGGGGTTAAAAACAGAACTGGTGCAGTAACTGATTAGAACTCTGAGCGTCGCTGTTCACCAAACTGGGGAAAAAGCTTGCCGCAGATGCGGTCCGACTCTGCTTTGGCACTGATCATCCACCCACAGTTAAGACGAGCTGCTGAGAAAGCCTTTCACCGCGTACACAAGGGAGTGTGTTCCCCTTGACACTAGAGAAATAAGGGAACAGCAGGCAAGAACAAGGACTCACAGAAAAACAGGCGGAGAGAAAGCAATGGTGGATCCACTAAGGTGCTGGGGCTGCGAAGAGCCGCTCCTACTCTTCTTTCTCTTGGGCTCGCTGTGTGGGGCAGAGGCTGGGGTTGGGCAGATCCGTTACTCGGTGCTTGAGGAGCTGGACAAAGGCTCTTTCGTGGGCAACATCTCCAAGCATTTGGGGCTGAAGTCCCGGGAACTGGAGGAGCACGGAGTCCGCATCGTCTCCAGAGGTAAGACGCAGTTTTTCTCTTTGAATCCCGGAAGCGGCAGCTTGATTACCGCGGGCAGGATAGACCGGGAGGAGCTCTGCGCACAAAGCGCGCAGTGTCTGGTGAGCTTTAACATCCTGGTTGAGAATCAAATGAAAATTTATGGAGTAGAAGTAGAAATCATCGATATTAATGACAACCCCCCACGCTTCAGGGATGAGGAATTAAAAGTGAAAATTAATGAAAATGCGGTAGTAGGAACACGGTTGGTGCTTCCCTTCGCGCGGGATCCAGATGTGGGTTTGAACTCTCTCCAGAGCTACCAGCTCAGCTCCAATATGCATTTTTCTCTGGATGTGAAAAGCGGAACTGATAAGCAAAAGTACCCGGAGCTGGTATTGGATCGACTTCTGGACCGCGAGAAAGAGGCTATCCACGACCTCCTCCTCACAGCTGTAGATGGTGGAGACCCCATACTCTCGGGCACGACGCACATCCGCGTGATGGTCCTCGATGCAAACGATAACGCGCCGCTCTTCACTAGACCAGAGTACAGAGTAAGTGTCCCAGAGGACATTCCTGTGGGTACTCGACTGCTCACGCTAACCGCTACGGACCCAGATGAGGGACTAAATGGGAAATTGACCTACTCTTTTCGCAATGAAGAAGACAAAATTTCAGAGACTTTCCAACTTGATTCCAGCCTGGGGGAAATCTCAACTCTGCAGTCATTGGACTATGAAGAAGCCAGCTTTTACCTAATAGAAGTAGAAGCTCAAGACGGAGGTGCTCTTCTTGCCAGCGCTAAGGTGCTTGTCACAGTACAGGACGTGAATGACAATGCTCCGGAGGTGATTCTCACCTCTCTCACTACTTCCATCTCTGAAGACTGTCTCCCAGGAACCGTAATTGCTCTGTTTAGCGTACATGATAGTGATTCGGGAGAGAATGGTGAGATTTCATGTTCTATTCCCAGGGACCTTCCCTTTAAGTTGGAAAAGTCCGTTGATAATTACTATCACTTACGGACAACAAAAGCCCTGGACAGGGAAGAGACATCAGATTATAACATCACAATAACGGTCGTTGATTGTGGAACTCCATCTCTGTCTACTGAAACTCATATCTCGATAAAAGTGGCGGACATCAACGACAACCCACCAGCCTTTGCTCGCACTTCATACTCTACCTACATCTTGGAAAATAATTCGAAAGGTGTCTCTATATTTTCTGTGACCACCCACGACCCAGACAGTGGAGAGAATGCCCGGGTCTCTTACTCCTTGATTGAGGGCACCCTCCAGGGGGCGCTTCTGTCCTCCTATGTCTCCATCAATCCCGACACCGGCGTCCTGTATGCACTGCGCTCTTTCGATTATGAGCAGTTCCAAGGTCTGCAGCTGTGGGTAACAGCTAGCGACAGCGGAATCCCGCCACTTAGCAGCAACGTGTCATTGAGCCTGTACGTGCTGGACCAGAATGATAACGCGCCAGAGATTCTGTACCCCACCCTTCCCATTGACGGTTCCACCGGAGTGGAGCTGGCTCCCCGCTCTGCAGAGCCCGGCTACCTGGTAACCAAAGTAGTGGCTGTGGACAGAGACTCTGGACAGAACTCTTGGCTGTCCTACCGCCTGCTCAAAACCAGCGAGCCAGGGCTTTTCGCGGTGGGGGTGCACACAGGCGAGGTGCGCACTGCGCGAGCCATACTGGATAGAGACGCACTCAAACAGAGCCTTGTGGTGGCAGTCCAGGACCATGGTCAGCCCCCTCTATCGGCCACAGTCACGCTAACTGTGGCTGTGGCCGACACCATTCCTGATATCCTAGCAGACCTGGAGAGCATCAAGACGCCCTCTGACACTGACAATTCCGGCCTCACCCTGTACCTAGTGGTGGCCTTGGCTGCGGTCTCCTGTGTCTTCCTTGCCTTTGTCATTGTGCTGTTGGCGCTCAGGCTGAGGCGCTGGCACAAGTCGCGTCTGTTGCAAGCTTCAGGCAGCCGGTTGATGGGCATGCCCGCCTCACACTTTGTGGGCGTAGACGGCGGCGTACAGGCCTTCCTGAAGACCTACTCCCACGAGGTCTCCCTCACTGCGGACTCCGGAAAGAGTCATATAATCTTCCCTCAACCCAACTACGCGGATACTCTCATTAGTGCAGAGAGTTGTGAGAAAAGCGAGCCTCTTCTTATATCTGATCAGATAAACGCAAACAAAGAACCAGAAGTTTTTCAGGTTAGTTTTGCTTTTCATTAATAATGGTTGGAAGGAGCATTATTTCCTCAATCATTTTCTGTCACTTTCAAATTATATAAACAGTAAATCATGAGTTGCTTTAGTTAAAATTAATTTGATAGGTGAGGTCTTCTCCATTTGCTTCCAAATTGTTTGGGAAGTTTTCAATCTTTTTTCAATATGTCAATATTTTAGAGACTCTAAACTAGTATAGAAATAGTTGTTATTTGTTGCTAGGTACCATTAAGTTGGTTTCAACTTATGGGGACCTGTGTACAAAAGGAAACAGTCCTGTGCATCCTCACAATTGTTGCTGTTTGACCCCACTGTTATATCACTGTGTCAGTCCATCTCATTGAGGGTTTTCCTCTTTTTTATTGACCCTCTACGTTACCAAGTATGATGGCCCTCTCTAGAAGCTGGCCCTTTCTGTTAATATGTCCAAAGTACATGAGACCAGTCACCATCCTCACTTTTAAGGAACTTTCTGGCTGTACTTCCTCCAACACAGATGTATTAATTCTCTGGCAGTCCATGGCATACCCAACATTGTTCACCAACACCATAACTCAAAGGCATCAATTGTTGTTATGTGCCGTGGAGTCGGTTCCGACTCATAGCAACCCTGTACAGGGTTTCTGAGTCTGTAAATCTTTAGGGGAGCAGAAAGCCTCATCTTTCTCCCACAAAACAGCTGGTTGTTTTGAACTGCTGACCCTGAAGTTAGCAGCCTCATTCATAACCACTATACTATCAATTCTTCTTAGGTCTTCTTTATTCATTATCCAGTTTTCACATGTATATGAGGCAATTGAAAACACCATGAATCAGGCTGTACCTTAGTTTTCAAGATGACCTCTTTGCTTTTTAACATTCTAAAAGAGGTCTTTTGCAGCAGATTTCCTCAATGAAATCTGATTTTTTCTTCTGCTACTTCCATGGGTGGATTCAAGTTGAATTAAATCCTTGACAACTTCCATCTTTTCCCTGTTTATCATGATATTCTTTATTGGTCCAGTTGTGAGGATTTTTGTTTGCTTTGTGTTGAAGTATTATCCATATTGATGAGTGTAGTCTTTGATCTACATCAATAAGTGCTTCAAGCATCTTCACTTTCAGCAAGCAAGGTTGTATCATCTGCATATCGTACATAGGTTGTTAATTAGTCTTCCTTCAGTTTTGATGTCTCTGTTCTTCATGTAGTCCAGCTTCTGAGATTATTTGCTCAGTTTACATGTTAAATAAGTATGATGACACACATTTCCTTATATTTAAAACCAATATATTAAACTAACTGCCTTGAGGTCTATTTGTAAGTTCTGCAGGAGAGCACAATTAAATGTTCTGGAATTCCCACTTTTCAAAATATTATCCATAGTTTGATATAATCCACCTCACATCAGCAATAATAATACTTGTTCTACATCCTCTTCTGAAATCAGCTTGAATTTCTGGCAGCTCCCTGTTGATACACTGCTGTAACCATTTTTAAATGATCTTCATCATAATTTTGCTCATATAATAATATTAATGATATTGTTTTTTAACTTCAGCAGTCTACTGGATCACCTTTCTTTAGAATGGGCACAGATATGGATCTCTTCCCATAGGTTGGCCAGGTCTTATCTTCCAAATTTATTGGCATAGATGAGTGAGTGCTTCAAACATTGTATTCCTTTGTTGAAACATTTCAGTTGGTACTCCATGAATTCCTTGAGCCTTATGTTTCCCTGGTGCCTTCAATACAGCATGGACTTCTTTCAATACCATCAGTTCTTGATCATATGTTACCTCCTGAAATGGTTGGATGTTGGTCAATTCTTTTTGGTATACTTTGTGTTTTTCTTCTACCTTCTTTTGATGCTTCCTGCATCATTCAATATTTTTCCATAGACTCCTTCAATATTTCCACTCAAGATATGAATTTTTCTTCAGTTCTTTCAGCTTGAGAATTGCTGAGCATGTTCTTCTATTTCAGTGTTCTAATTCTAGGTCTTTTCACATGTCATTATGATATTTTGTTTCCTCAAGCTACCCTTGAAGTCTTCTGTTTAGCTCTTTTACTACATCATTTCTTCAGTGTGCTTTAGCTGCTCTAAGTTCAAGGACAAGTTTCAGTGTCTACTCAGACATCACTGCTGATTTTTTCCTGGTGCTTTTATGACCATTTGCTCTCTTCATATATATATGATGTCCTTGTTTTCATCCCACAGTTCATCTGATCTTCAATCATTAGTCTTTAATGTATCAAATCTGTTCTTGAAATTGTCTTTAAATTCAGGTGGGAAATACTTAAATTCATATTTTGAGTCTTGTGAACTTGTTTTGATTTTCTTGAGCTTTGCTCATGACTTTGTAGTCCCCAATTTTGATAGCCAAAGTCTAAGTTGCCCACTCCCATCAACCCAGCATACTGAGGAAGCAAGGTTGATCCTTGATATGAAGAAACCATCTGTTTTGGTTGGAATTTTAGGTAACTTCATCCAGTTCATCATATTGTAGCAATTTATACTTGCTCCCTTTATCAAATATCTCCATCTTCATCTGAATGAGTTTTGGTCAGCAAGCCATCCATGCTAGGGTACTATATATAACTTTGGGAGTTCTAGCACATCTCCCTCCACTTCAGACCAGCTGATGACTTCACTCTTAACTCTAGCCTCCAGTGGTTAGGTCAGTGCCCTTGGGCTGGGGAGTTCACATGTCTCCCTGAACTTCAAACCAGCCAGCCCTTCCTCTTCTCTCTTTTTTCTCAAAGTCATTCATTGTCTATGGAACATGGCCAAACTCAGCCCATGTCTTCATTGCTGCATTTTCCCCACTTCCACTCACCAATTGACCAGGGTGATCACTAGTAAGCCTGAAAGACTGTTTATGTGTTCCCTTTGGGTTTCAGTCATAGAAAGGAATTTACCCTGATGAGCTGACTTTTCTTGCCTTGATAACTGCAAGGCAAACAGCTTGCTTGATATTGTCCTTGAGTTTGTTTTGACTGATGATATTGAGCTTTTCTGTCATCTCTTTCCACAAATGTAGTTAATTTGTTCCTATATATTCCATCCAGTGAGCCCTAAATATGTTTGTTGTTGTTAAGTGCCATCAATTCCTTTCTGACTCATAGTGACCTTATATAAGGTTTCCTAGTATCAGCTGGTGGATTTGAACTATCAACCTTAAAATTAACAGTACAGTGTTTATCCTAAAGTGCCACACCAGAACCAAGTGTAGTTGTTATTTATGTTGTCATAAAAAAGTTTTCCCAATTGCTGTTGTAAAACTGAATCATCTTGCCATTGAAGTTATTCATATCACCAAAGTCATATTTTACAGCTTTGATCTTTCTTTGTTTCCAACTTACACACTCCAATCACCTGTCATTATCATTGTGTCTTAATTGCATATTTGATCAATGTTAGATTGCAGAAGCAGGTAAATTTTTTAAAAAGTCTTTAAGTTTTCCATCTTTGGCATTAGTTCTTGATGCATACATTTGAATAATAGTCGTAGTAACTGGTCTTCCTTATAGGTTTATGGATATTACCCAAGCACTGACAGCACGGTGTTTCAGGATAGATGTTAAAATGTTATTTTTGACAGTGAATGCAAAACCATTCCACTTTAATTTGTCAATTCTAGCATGGTAGATTATATGATTGTCCTATTCAAAATAGCCAATACCAGTTCATTTCTGTTCTCCAATGCCTTGGCTATCAATCTTCAAGTGTTCCATTTTATTTATGACAACTTTCCATTTTCCTTGATTCATACTTTGTACATTTCACATTATGATAATGAATGAATGTCTACAGCTATGTCTTCTCAGTCTATTGTGTCACATCAGCAAATAAAAGTCTCAAAATTTCAATCCATTCATGTGACCAAAGCGAACTCTACTTTGAGGAGGCAGCCCTTCCCCAGTCATATTTTGAATGCCTTCCAACCAGAGGAGCTCATGTTCCAGTACTATATCAGACAACATACCACTGCTATCCATAATAATTTCAGAAGTAGATTAACAGGTCCTTCTTTCCAGTGGTTCTTAGTTTGGAAACTCTTCCAAAACCTGTCTGTCATAATAACCCTACTGATATTTGAAATACTAGTGGTGGTGGAATGGTTTTCACAGCATCACAGCAACACAGAAGCCACCACAGTACCACAAGCTGACAGAAAAGTGACAGGATATAAGTAGGCTTAAATTAAAATTAAAATGGCTAAATACCATCACCTTAGCCAAAGATTTTCTTATATTAGAGTTCTCATCCTCTTAGTAAAGGCATTATTTGACTAGTCCCCAAATCATTACATGCATTGTTCATTCTCCTTGGAATATTTGACTAAACACCACTAAATATTTGACTAAACATGTTTTGGAAAGAATATTGTGCAGAATTGATATGTTAGCATACATGAAGTTTGCATTGATGATAGTCGCCACTGAGTTAGTCCCCAACTCACTCCATACACAATGCTGCCTGTCCTGTGCAATCCTCATGATCCATTGCAAACTGGACTATTGCTTTTCATAGGCTTGTTTTTGAAAATAGATCACCAGCCTTTCTTCCTACTTTGGCTTAGCCTGGAAGCTTCACTGAAACCTGTTCAGCATTGTGGCAACACACCAGTCTTCACTGACAGATGGGTGGTGGGTATGCATGAAGTATACTGGCTGGAAATTGAACCCCCACACCAAAAACGCAAAACCAAACCCACCACCACTGAGTTGAGTATGACTCGTAGCGACCCTGTAGGACAGAGTAGAACTGCTCCATAAGGTTTCTGAGACTGTAAATCTTTACAGGAGCATACAGCCTCATCCTTCTCCTTTGGATGGCTGGTGAGTTTAAGCTATGGACCTTGTGGTTGTAGTTGTTAAGTACCGTGGAGTCAGTTCCGACTCATAGTGATCCTGCACAGGGTTTCTGAGGTTGTAAATCTTTACAGGAGCAGAAAGCCTCATCTTTCTCCTGCGGAATGGCTGGTAGTTTGGAACTGCCAACTTTGAGGTTAGCAGCCCAATT